ACCCGCCTGCCTGGCACCCGCCGACGTAGCACCCGCCGACCTAGCAGCGGCCGGCCTGGCACCCGCCGACCTGGCACCCGCCGACCTGGCAACCGCCGACCTGGCACCCACCGACCTAGCACCCGCCGACCTAGCACCCGCCGACCTAGCACCCACCAACCTAGCACCCGCCGACCTAGTACCCGCCGACCTAGCTCCCGCCGACCTAGCACCCGCGGACCTGGCACCCGCCGACCTGCTGGCACCCACCGACCTAGCACCCGCCGACCTAGCACCCGCCGACCTAGCACCCGCCGACCTAGCACCCGCCGACCTAGCACCCGCCGACCTAGCACCCGCCGACCTAGCACCCGCCGACCTGGCACCCACCGACCTGGCACCCGCCGACCTAGCACCCGCCGACCTAGCACCCGCCGACCTGGCACCCGCCGACCTGGCACCCGCCGACCTAGCACCCGCCGACCTGGCACTCGCCGACTTGGCACCCGCCGACCTAGCACCCGCCGACCTGGCACCCGCCGACCTAGCACCCGCCGACCTGGCACCCGCCTACCTAGCAGCCACCGACTTAGCACCTGCCGACCTAGCACCCACTGACCTAGCACCCGCCGACCTGGCACCCGCCGACCTAGCACCCGCCGACCTAGCACCCACCGACCTAGCACCCACCGACCTGGCACCCGCCGACCTAGCACCCGCCGACCTGGCTCCCGCCGACCTAGCACCCACCAACCTAGCACCCGCCGACCTAGCACCCGCCGACCTGGCACCCGCCAACCTGGCACCCGCCGACCTAGCACCCGCCGACCTGGCGCTCGCCGACCTGGCACCCGCCGACCTAGCACCCGCCGACCTAGCACCCGCCGGCCTGGCTCCCGCCGACCTAGCACCCGCCGACCTAGCACCCGCCGACCTAGCGCCCGCCGACCTAGCACCCGCCGACCTGGCACCCGCCGACCTGGCACCCACCGACCTAGCACCCACCGACCGAGCACCCGCCGACCTAGCACCTGCCGACCTAGCACCCACCGACCTAGCACCCGCCGACTTGGCACCCGCCGACCTAGCACCCGCCGACCTGGCACCCGCCGACCTAGCACCCGCCGACCTAGCACCCGCGGACCTGGCACCCGCCGACCTGCTGGCACCCACCGACCTAGCACCCGCCGACCTAGCACCCGCCGACCTAGCACCCGCCGACCTAGCACCCGCCGACCTGGCACCCGCCGACCTGGCACCCGCCGACCTAGCACCCGCCGACCTGGCACTCGCCGACTTGGCACCCGCCGACCTAGCACCCGCCGACCTGGCACCCGCCGACCTAGCACCCGCCGACCTTGCACCCGCCGACCTGGCACCCGCCGACCTGGCACCCGCCGACCTAGCACCCGCCGACCTAGCACCCGCCGACCTGGCACCCGCCGACCTAGCACCCGCCGACCTGGCACCCGCCGACCTAGCACCCGCCGACCTAGCACCCACCGACCTAGCACCCGCCGACCTGCTGGCACCCACCGACCTGGCACACGCCGACCTAGCAGCCACCGACCTAGCAGCCACCGACCTAGCACCCGCCGTCCTAGCACCCGCCGACCTAGCACCCGCCAACCTGGCACCCGCCGACCTGGCACCCGCCGACCTGGCACCCGCCGACCTAGCACCCGCCGACCTGGCACCCGCCCACCTAGCACCCGCCGACCTGGCACCCGCCAACCTGGCACCCGCCGACCTGGCACCCGCCGACCAGGCACCCGCCGACCTGGCACCCGCCGACCTAGCACCCGCCGACCTGGTACCCGCCGACCTAGCACCCGCCGACCTAGCACCCGCCGACCTAGCACCCGCCGACCTGGCACCCGCCGACCTAGCACCCGCCGACCTAGCACCCGCCGACCTAGCACCCGCCGACATAGCACCCGCCGACCTAGCACCCGCCGACCTAGCACCCGCCGACCTGGCACCCGCCGACCTAGCACCCGCCGACCTAGCACCCACCGACCTAGCACCCGCCGACATAGCACCCGCCGACCTAACACCCGCCGACCTAACACTCGCCGACCTAGCACACGCCGACCTAACACCCGCCGACCTAGCACCCGCCGACCTAGCACCCGCCGACCTGGCACCCGCCGACCTAACACCCGCCGACCTGGCACCCGCCGACCTAGCACACGCCGACCTAGCACCCGCCGACATGGCACCCACCGACCTAGCACCCACCGACCTAGCACCCACCAACCTGGCACCCGCCGACCTAGCACCCGCCGACCTAGCACCCGCCGACCTAACACTCGCCGACCTAGCACACGCCGACCTAGCACCCGCCGACCTGGCACCCACCGACCTAGCACCCACCGACCTAGCACCCACCAACCTAGCACCCACCGACCTAGCAACCGCCGACCTAGCACCCACCGACCTAGCACCCGCCGACCTGGCACCCACCGACCTAGCACCCACCGACCTAGCACCCACCAACCTAGCACCCACCGACCTAGCAACCGCCGACCTAGCACCCACCGACCTAGCACCCACCGTCCTTTCTTCTGCTGACCTTACACCCACCGGGTGAGGGCATTGAAACGGCAGGGGGGAGGATATTAAAGTGGCAGGGGTAAGGATATTGAAGTGGCAGGGGTAAGGATATTGAAGTGGCAGGGGGGAGGGTATTGAAGTGGCAGGGGGAAGGATATTGAAGTGGCAGGGAGGAGGGTATTGAGGTGGCAGGGGGGAGGGTATTGTAGGTGGCAGGGTCGAGGGTATTGTAGGTGGCGCGGGGGAGAATATTGAGTTGGCAGGGGGGAGGGTACTACTCGCTAGCCTCCAAGCCTAGTGGATAGGTGGGCTTGAGTGCCAAATGGGTTCCCAGATGGGTCGCCGTTGTTTTCGGGCATTCCCATTCCTCGACGGAAGTGCATCCATGACCACATTACTGCCTTTGTTGTTCTTCCCGTTGGCCTTCATATAATGGTTTTATTATTGAGGTTGTCCGGCACTAAGCTTACTTTCCCAAGTGTGCATGGCATGACTCATTGAAGTACTTTAATGCAGGGAACCTCCCTGCTCGACAAGTGGAGAGGATGAAGATACATGAAATCATCTTGAACGCTCGCAATAATGCGGATAAAATGGCGAAAGGGTATACGCAAGCTGCCGTACGCCTACGTCGCTCCGGTCCTGATGGTAAATTGGCTTGTACAATATTATTTAATTTAAGAATACTACGAAATAACTTTCCTGTGGGAAGCGGACTGAATTTGGCGCCTTAAAAGCGTTTCGTGTCATGGCTATGCTTGCACCCTCGCGGCCAAACTTAAATGCTATCACACGGCCACCTAATGCTAGCAACGTAAAGAGACTTCACTAACATTTGCAAGGATATGGACAGCGCTGCTGCGAGCAGCTAGTCGTGAAGGGTTTCGAACGAAGGGTAAAACGGGGCGCAGCTGCTGCCGACCAAGCTGGCGACGCTGCTGGGACGTCGCATGGAGCGCACGGCTGGTTCCAGCAAGCCATTACAGACCCTGGCGACGTGACAGTGCTTCCGTCCGTTAAGTGCTCGGAGGGCATACCAGCCTATGACCTAGATGCTATTCGCTCAATGCATCGCGACTTGACGCTCGATATGGTTTTTCTGACGGACCTGCTAGTAAGGACGGAGTTCGTCATTGTCGAGGAGCTTAACAGGAAGTTAAAGGAGCATGGGTTTGAGTGCGTGAAGCACGTTTCCGATGTTGTGGACCATCTATGCGACCGCTGGGTTTTGTCGAGGCAGCGCCGCGAAGAGCTGGAGGGGATTGTGGAGGACGTTTTCACCAAGATGACAGGCTCGCACGAGGCGGCCGTTGAGGTCATTAAGGAATGGCCGATTTTGATTGACTGGGTGCAACAGCGCTTTGCGCTCGCCAAATACCTCGTGAACTTTTTTGGGTTCACCGTTGACGCACAAAGGCTGGCTTTACTAGAAAACGTCGTCATAGATTCCACAGAGTACGGTATCGTCCCCAACACCGCCTCTATGCTCTTCAAGGTGCTCTTCAAGGAAGAGGTATGAAATACGGAGCAGGTCCCTGGGCCCGCGACTTGCATCGTAGGCTAGTGGGCGCAGGGGTGGTCGATTAAGGGGACCCTGCCAGCCAACAGGCTTAGGAAGGGAAAGACCAGGTTACAGAACGGGGTTGGGCGAGGGAGTCATACCTTCCTCCTGGTGGGGTGGTGGTGTATGGGCTCAACTTACCTGGTTGGCCTCGTCACGGCTGTCTGTGATGTGCATCCGTCTGTGCTTTGCAAGGGATATGGTTGAAAGTGGTAGTTGTACCTTCTGAATAGGGGATAAAAGTTTGGGCTTTTGGCGCTGCCAGCGTGTAAACTAGTAAGGTAGTAATATCAATAATTAATCGGTGATTTCTTCTTTGCTTTGCTTTTATTGTAGATGAGCTAGGATGGCTACGGGTGCGGAGTGCGACATTGATGGTGGTACTGCTGATGTTGAGACATGTGTTCTGCTTAGCATACACAAGCGCCAGCTGTTAATTTTTATGTAGCCGTGTTCACCACCAAAGCGTTGCCGCCGGGTTTCTACATTCCTTTCCGGTGCGGGAATGTTGGCTGGAGGCCCCTGGTCACATGTGTACGGTTGCAACGGTTAACGCACTTAACTCTGTTGGTTGTGGAGTACTTTGCCTTTCTTGCTGCGCACACTTGTTATTAGGCGACAGGATGTACGTTGGAACCTGATCCGCCTTTCTTTGGTTTTCGTTTCCCGCTGGCCCTTCATGTTTTTGTTTTGTGGTTTGCTCCGTTTCTCTTGCAGTGTAGTGTTGCCTTCATTACCCGGGTTTCCCTTTGTAACTATCATTCATTCACGTGCTGAGCACGTAACATGAGCACTGTACGGCAGTTAGCTACTACCCATCATCGAGATGCAGCGCCTTTTGTAATTATGACCTCCCTCTCCCGATACCCAGCCTAACAGCTGCATTGCCCCATTTGCACAGTACGTATAGCAGTGTGCGGCTTGCACTCCTGCCGGGCGCCTTATGAGCCCCAAAGCATGTGCACCGGCATCTAGGAGGTCAGGTTACAACGACCTGTTTTTTGCGTGTCCAACCCCGCTTGAACAAATCTGTCCTGCTCCCCTCATCCTAGGCGCCGATGTGTCAGGCCCTGACCTCACAACCGCCCCTTCGCCTACCCATCACCCAACTTGCCACAGAAGGTCCCTACCAACGGTCCCTTCGGTTCCCTTAAATCCCTAAATGCCGACGCGCTAAGTTTCACCTGCACACCTCACGAGCTGCCCCTTCCTTGCCGCATCCGAACACTCCGCCTCATCCAAACAGCCGCAACCCGGGTCCCATTGAAACGCCGCCAAACAGCGATGCTCCGCCCCCAATCGGCGTCATCATGGGCGTCGACACCGCCGCCGCAAAAGGCGTCATCAACACGAGCGACGACGGCGCAGCACCTCCCATGTCCTCCACCATCCCACCCATGCCATGATGCTGCTGTGCCGCCCCTCCCGCAATCTGCCGTGTCTGGTGCTGCTGCTCCTGCAGCCGCTCCGTGTCGGTTGAGACCAGGGAGAGGTGAGCGGCGATGGCGGTGTTGAGGTGCTCCAAGAGGGCGGTGGACCGCTCCTGACCCAGCTGCTGAGCAATGGTGAGCTTGGTGTGTAGCAGCTCCAACTGCACGACAGTGGCAACAACATGACGGAGCGCAACTTTGGTGAGAACGGGCGTTATGCATTGCGTAGTCCTTAGGATACGGGCCGAAGGATACATCACGTAGTACCGTCTTGCATGGGTTCATTGCGGAAGCTGCGCCGCGGGTTTTGGCAGCAGCCTCGCAGCATGCGCATAGTCCCTCAACCGTTTCCTCCATTCACACGCACCTGCGGGTACGGCATCCAAGCGGCGCTGTGTTGGCGCCTCTGTCGTACATCCGTACGACTCCACCGCTCCACCTGAGCCACAACCAGCTCAACTGCGGAGGCGAGGCGGTCGTGCCGCAGGTAGAGGCTGAGCAGGGAGGCTGGGCCGCAGGCGGAGCAGCCCATTCCGGCGGTCATGGGCGCGACGGAATCGGAGACGGCAGGCGGTGCAGGGACCTGGAGGGCAACAGGGGCCGAAGGAGGCGACATGACGACACGGCTGGGCTATGGAAAGGCGTGGATGGTTATACATAGCCACATGACGTCACATTGTTCGTCACCGATGCCGGTCTTCGCCGGTTTCCTTTTCCCCTGCGTGTCGACCTACCAAGAACATGTCCAGCAGCCATTGCGGCAGATCAACCCGTGGGTCAGTCCGCAGCACCGCCTCGGCCGCGGCGTCGCGCAACATCCAGCCCACCCGCAGCGCTCCACTGGTCCCGCTGCCGCCGCCATTCTGCTGCTGCAGCTCAGATGCCACGTCAGCTTCAGCCATCTGGGTCAGAAGGCGTCGCAGCTTAGCCCACAATGGAGCCGCTCGGCCGCCGAGGGTTCCCGCGACGGCTGCGGCGCCGGCAGCGCCGAGGCCGGCGGCCGCGGCTCCGCCGTCGAGATCGTCGACGAAGAGGTCAGTGGGCGGCAGCGGTGGTCCACCCGTTGGTACGCCTGTGCGGGCAGACAAAAGATAGGCGCGGAACAGGCAGGCACGGACAGCAAATAAGCCATTTTAAGCCAGAGCCGTATGCAGTATGACAAAAGTGTCACCAAAGCAATCCAATCCCAGCAGCTTGTGTTGCCTGAAGTTGCCGTACCTCCGTCCTGAAGTTGAAGCCGCGTGCAGTGCGCCGCAAGCGCAGAAACCACGGTTTCCATAGCCTTGACCCACGGGTCACCTCCTTGGCCCGCAAAGCAGTCCGCCACCAGCGCCAGAGCGCCCTCGTAGCGCCCCATCAGCAGCAGCTGCCGCAGAATGGCATCCTCGTTGTCCCACTGCCGCATGGGCTCGAGACCTGTGGAGCGAACGACGCGAAAGAGCACACATGTGCTCAACACCTCTTGTTACAAACCCGACCGCAGCAGCCTAGGAATGGCGCAATCCAAAGCCAGATAAAAGAGATAATGCCGCCACACATAAAACGGGATGAGTGTCCGCACCCACGCTGCCGTACACACGTAATGTTGGATTCACTGTAGGGGAAAAGCCGTCCGTCCTACTCTGCTTTGTTACCTGCGACCCGCGCCGCCACCATTGCGCAGTAATGTAGCATCGTCCGCTCCCGTTGCAGGCTCTGCACAGTCGCCACAGGTGCCGCCGCCCTCGCCGTCGCCGCCGCCACTCCGCTGCTGCCGCCGCCGCCGGCAACATCCATGGCCGCAGCACCTTCCCCTGCTGCTGCTGCCGCCGCCGCCGCCGAGGGCGTGGCAGGAAGTGTCAGGGGCGCATGCTGCATCAGGATGTCGTTGCTGCTGCTGTCGTGCGGCGCTAGCTTCTCCAGCCAGGGGTCGGTGAGGTCGAGCCAGGCGTCCTCGGGGTCCAGAAGCGAGAGGCTATTGATGGCTAGGTCTGCATGAGTGTGTGTTAGAGGAAAGGATGAGAGCAGTAGGGGTCAGTTAAGTGATAATCCTGGACCAAGATCTCAACCACACATCCGCATGAATGAATAAGTGTAAGCGTACGACACGCAAGAGCCAAGTCATGTAGGCAACACCCACCGTAAGCCCGAAGCGCCTCCGAAACCGCTGCTTCCGAACTGGATGCCTCAGCGCGCAGTCGCCAGGCGTAGGCAGCCATGGCGCGAGCCGCCCCCTTGTAGTCGCTACGGCACACCAGAAAGTCGTACAGCACCTGTCGTACAGAGGCGTGAATGGGTCGTAACTGGTAAGCGAGGGGCAGTACAGGAACAGCTACAGCAGCGCATGTTGCGGTGGGAGGCAGGTGTGGCGGCAGGAACGATAGTCCAAAGCTACTATAACAGGAGTACTTACGGCTCACGATATCAAGCATCACAAAAGACAGGGACGGTAGTAGCCAGTCCCAAAACTTGATACCGCAAATCACCGATACCACCACACCCAAAAGCGAAGAAGCCATGACAGCACAGCTCGACACAGCGAGAACACACAGTCATGACAGCGCCATGCGCGTTGTACCTTGTAGGGCTGTGGAGTCTCCGCCAGGTCGCAGTTGTGAGCCCGGCGGTGCAGCAGGTCTAGCGCCTCCGACAGCAGAGACACCGTACGGCAACCGGTGGCGGATCCAGCGGGGCCGGCAGCAGTCGGGGTGTGCTCGGAGGACGACAGCACCGCGACTCCAGCAAACGGCAGAGTGCATAGCGTCTGTTGGGCAACATGGGAACAAGAACAGAAAAGGGTAGTTGGGGACTTGGATGAAGGAATGCGTAAGGGCCACAATGCACCGGGAAAGGAGAGGAGCCGGAAGACTTGCTTGTACAACCATAGCAAGGAGCAGCTGACAACCAGTTATATTGCATCGTTGACATTGTGTAGGAAATACCAAACCGCTTTCAAGGTTTCTTTCTACTTTTCACACACTCCTCACCTGCAGCTGCCCCTCCTGAGTCAGCACGTGCACCAGGTGCCTCAGGCTCTGCAACCGTGCCGCCGGCAGCGGGTTGGCAAGCAGCGCACCATACGCTCTGTCGTACTGCCGCATCTCCACGCAGTACGAATACATGTTGCTCCAGAGCCGCCCCTCCCGCGCGGCTCGCTCCGCAGCGGCGGCTGACGCGGCATGAAGCAGGGCGTCCTCCCCGGGAAGAAGCGGAGCCGTGGGGTCGATGGCGGCGGCAGAGGAGCCAGAAGCTGGATCGGAGAGATGCCTGGAGGTTTGAAAAGTCGTGGCAGGGATGGTAAGAGTGGGAAGGAAGAGGTGAAGTGCCCGTTTTCGAGGAGTTTAAACGAGTTAACACAGCATACGTGTTGCCCTACACGTCCCGTTAGCAGCGTTGCCGAAGCTGCAAACCCATCCTGTTCTTCAGGGTCGCCATCGTGCGGCTCCGTCCTCTTACCCGTACGCAGTGCGTAGGTGCGCCAGCGCCGCCGCCGCAAACACCACCGCTCCCTCCGGCGCTCCCTCCCGCTCAAACAACTGCATAACTGCCTCGCAGAACTGCAGCTGAAGCAGGGCCACCTCACGACGCTTCTGCAACTGCTGCTGCTGCAGTTGCTGTTGTTGTTGGCCAGACGCCCCGGTGGCGCCGTCCACCACCAAGGAAGGAGCTCCAGCAGCCCCGCTAACAGCAGCGGCAGAGCTTGCTGCTGCTGCTGCTGCGGGCGGGAACTGGGGCAGCTGCGGGGCCCCGCCTGCGAGCTCGGACCGCAGATCCCGGAGGATGTTCCGCAGCGTTTCACCCGCGTCTGCATGCATGCGAAGGAGGGAGACGCATGCAAAGGAGGTAGTTGCGCCGTGATGGGGCCGAGAGGCTTGCTGGGGGCCAGACACAAGCGCTCCACCACACCTCCAATCCACACACGCGGGTTATTCGCGGCCAATTTTCATAGCACACACCCACGTAATTTAACCCACCGGTGGCAAGACCCGCTGCCGCACGGAAGAAGCACCCCGCAGCTTCCGCAATCCGCTCCGCCCGTCTAGCTGCTGCAACCGCTGTCGTACTGCCGTACGATCCTCCCGCTCCCCCCGTAGCCGCAGCCGGCTGCTGTTGCTGCTGTACGGCAGTAGGATGCGGGCCGGTACCGCTGGTACCCGCGGTCCCCTGCCTCTCCAACGCCAGGGCGCATGTGATGCCGAGTCCGCGGAGGAATTGCGGACCTGCCTCAGCGCTGCCGGTGGCGCCAGCGAGGGCGGACAGCTCAGCGAGGTTGCCGTACTCGCCAGCCTGAGGGGTGGCGGGTGCAGACCCATGGGTAATCCAGCGCTCGCGGTGCTTCCCTACATTGCTTTCTCGTCCTGCAGTCCATGGAGCTGCCAAGGCTGCCATGACTTGACCCAGCTTAAATCACTTTCATACAATCCAGTCCATGCCTGACAGCCAGGAATGCGCATCCCGAGCTCACCTGGAACAGCTGGTACCCCAGTTGCAGCACCCTGCCCGCCAGGGAGGCTCCCGGCTGCTCGCCTGCGGGCAGGAGGCAGCGGGTTGACAAACAGCGGGGTACAAACAAGCGGGGTTGGCCACTCGCAACAAGTGCTGTACATGGCGTATTAGAAGTGAAAGATCAACGTCGGTTCGAGCTGCAGGGAGAGGCGGGGGGAGTCCAGAAAGGAGTGGAGGTGTGTAGACGGAACCGGTACCGTCTCTAAACCCAGGCGCCCATGCGCCCAGAACCACTATAGCATCAACGACAAAACAACCGCCACAGCCCCCCAACGCCTTATGCCGTGCATGCACACGTCCTGTAACGGCTGATGTATCCTGGGATTGAAGAATTCCTCCCACTTACCGTACTGCAGGTACAGTGTAAACAGCAGTCCAGCCGCCTCCGCTCCCGCCAACACCTCCACCCTGCGACCCCGGCTCGCTCCGTACACGCCACAGAACGCAGGCAGCAGCCGGCCTGCCAACGACACATCCCCGCCACCACCTCCACTGCTGTTCCCGCTGCCGTTATCCCCGGCGGCTGCGGCAGCGGCGCCACCGGTGCCTGCGGCCGTGGCTCCGTGAGCAGCGGCGCCGCCGCCGCCGCTTCCTCGTTTGGCAGCGGCAGCAGCAGCAGCGTTTGAGGAGCCCAGTCGCAGGTGACGCAGGGCGTTGAGGGCGGGCTCCATGTCCGTTGCCTCATCTTTGTAGAGGAAAAGGGAAAGGGAAAGAGGAGAGAAAAGCATCCATGTAGGGACCGCAAGATAGCAGTGGGAACAGGTGGGAAGCCAGTTCAAAATAGAGAATGCAAGAGGAATCGAGCAAATACTGTGAAGGGGACAGAGCCGAGAAAGGGTGTCACTTCCGACAGACACAAGGGCAGCAAGTGGGCTCCTAAACGATCCCACACGTACCCTGAGACGAGGGTGTTCCCGTCAGCCACAGCCCCAGCGCTGACCGCCGCAGCAGCCCGCACGCCTCCGGCAGCAGAGCCTCCTCAAGCCGTGCAAGTGCCGTACGATCCAGGGAAACCGTTCCCAGTGTCGTACACTGCTGTCGTACAAGACCCAACAGCAGCGCGGCGTCGCGTGCAGCGGCGGCGGCGGCCCGAGATACCTACACGCCAGAGGTTCAAGGAAGAGCGAACCGGGAGGGTGAGAGACCATACGTGCCGTACAGCAATACACTGGTCTGGAGCTCTGGACATCGCTCATAATCCCCAGTACCGGTATTTACAGCGCGGTAAGCAATCACCACGATTTGGGATAAACGATGTGGGTTGGTCAAGGTCAAGGCCAATGACCCTACATGTGCCTGCATGTGAGAATGCTAATAAGTCCTACCTGTCGGCATGTTGCAACCAGGAAAGAGGATGTGGCCTTGCTGGGAGCAGCAGCACCGCCGCCTGCCGCCCCTGCCGCCGCGAGCTCCGCAGCACTCTGGGTGTCAAGCAGCCTCAACAAACCCAGGTAGGACCTACGAAACAACACGAAAAATGCAACAAGTGACCCATGGGTCAGACGCAGCTGATTACAGGGGAAGGCATGCCAAAAGTGCTAGAGGACAAGAGCAAAGCCCCCTCCCGTGCGCGATTACCAATATTACCCCCTTGATAGCGTGCACAGCAAACAAAACACATGAATGATAAACTTTGCAAATACAGACTCATTAAACGGCAACTCGGTAACTATCGGTACTCAAACAACTCGGAAACGACTCCCTGTGCGACAACTCTGCAACGACTGTACGACAACTCACTGTACGGCCGCTGCCACGTTGCTCAGACCGCCCAGACGCTGCCCCATGCTGATCACCAGCTGCTGCCGCCGCTGCCGCCACCTCTGCTGCGCCTCCCGCGCACTATCTGTGAGCGCAGCGGCACGACTGCCGCCGCCGCCGCCGGCTGCTCCACCTGTAGAGGTGCTGCTGGCGCCGGCGCTGCTGCCCCCAGAGGTGTCCGGACCTCCGAACCAGAGCTCACAGAGCCGAGGCATCAGCCGCTCCAGGGGATCTACACCTGAAGAGGTTGAAGACGAAGAGCAAGAGGAAGAAAGAAGGAGGTGTTGCGAAGGAGGTGGAAAAGGATGAGGGATCAAGCATCTAGGGCAAAAACCGAGGGTGGAGCAGGAGCCAGCGTCTGGCAGCGTTCATGCATGTGGTGAACAACGTGGTAGCAATTTTACCCAAATCCCTGTTGTTTCTCCTTTTCTCCTCCTTTACTCAGCTTTACTACTTCCTTTTCCGTTCCCTCACCTGCCACCAGCAGCGCCAGACAGGCCTCCTGCGCCAGCGGGCCCAGCAGCGCCCCCGCCTCCGCAGCACACCGATGTACGGCATCCAAGTGCGGCGGCAGTTCCAGCGGACACACCGCATCCGCCGCCGCCTGCAGCGCCTCGACTGCCGTACCGCGACGCAGCATGCACAGCAGCGACCCGCCGCGTGCCAGCCCCAGCCATTCAGAGGAGGCGGCTGAGGAGGAGGAGGAGGCGGGTTGGACTGGGCTGCGGCGGAGGACGAGGCCTAGGGGCGGGTGGCGGCGGGCCCATGCTGCGCGGTAGGTGGCGAGGAAGGTCTGCCAGCACTCGGGTGCGGAGGCGCTGGGAGTCCTGTGGGAGCGGTGGGAGCGGTGGGCAGGTCCGGAGTGCGGGTATTGCAACGGGGTAGTGTTAGGGATGGAGGGGAATAGTAACCCGTAACCCGCATTAGTAAATACCGCATATAACGCTCCTTGCGTTCTTGGCAGGGCTAGGCATAAGGGTCTACGACTACAGCTGGCGACTAAATGAAACGCAGTCCATGCGACTCCATCCCTTTCACTTCGGGACCCCAGCACCAAAATCATTTCGGCCCCCCCCCATTGCTTTGCCCCAACCTGTGGTTATGGTATATCTCTGAACCCCCGCTCCCCACCCCGCCCAGTCCATGCGACTCCACCCAGCGCCCACCTGCGCTGGATGGCCAGCACCGCGGTCTGCATCCAGCCCCGCAGCGCCCCGTGAGGCGCGCACTCCACCTCCGCTGAGCTCAGCTGGGCACCGTGGTACGACAGCGCGTCGCGGAGGGAGGCCCTGGGGTATGTACGACACCATGCGGACAAGGTTGACAACCCTGGGGGACTTCACCTTCCGGCAATCATAGTACGTTCCGACTCGTGGCCAGTTCTTTTAACACACACGGGGGACAAGCATGGACCTCATGGGAAAGGCGGCAAGGGGGCAACAGCAACAGGAATGATGGCTACAACGCAGCACCCTTGTCCAGGACATGCCTGGTCAGCCCCGGTGTTCAGTTCCTTTTTGCCACTTTCCTTCTCCCACGCACCTGCATGTCTGGCCGGGCACCAGCACCTGCTGGCACACCTGCGCCTCCGCCGAGAGCTCCTGCGGGAAGGCTTGCAGCAGCCACTCCCAGAGCTCCTGCGAGACAGAAAGAAAGCAGAACACAGCGTGATGCGATGACGCAAGATGAAGGACGGCAGTGAAAAACGAAAAAGCACGGCTGCAGTCCTCCAATGCAACTACGCAGGCATGTCACACGCGAAGAAACGCACAGGAAGCAGCGGGCGTGTGGGAATCACGCCGCATGGAAGCTGTTGTGCCTTGGTAACGGTATGAACACAGCCGGCCCAACAACCGTGATAAGCATTTCCGTAGCAGTAGCAGGGACACGGCAACCGCAACACCATCACACCACAGCCGCCAAAGCTACCACATCCAGCCTCCTCACCTGGTCCACCTCGGAGCCGTTCCCCGCCGCCCCGCTTGCCCCCGGGTGCTCCCCCGCCGCCTCCGCCAGCAACACACTCGACACCACCGCCGCACTGGAGCGACTATAGCCCAGCACCTGAGAGCAGGAGGAGGAGGAGGAGGAGGAGGAGGAGGGTGAAAAAGGGGAGAAGCAAACTTGACCGTGTGACACAAGGCTTCACCCAGCACCCGGAGGAGGAACGCCAGCCGTCAAGGAGCCACATAGGGCCATGCGGGCTCCTTAAGCCGCGAGCCCGTGATAATTTCATTACGTTACACGATAACTAGGTGGGATAACTTTTAGAGCAATGTTCAGGAGTGGCAAAACACTGATGGGGGGAGAAGCAACACATGAACGTACCTTGGCCCTGCCCTGCGACTTTATCAGCAGCCAAACCGTGTCCGCCGACACCTTTGCCTCCGCCACCACCCCGCCCTCCTCCACCGCCAGCTCCGTAGGGTTGGACAGCGACATTCTCCCCGCCGCTGACGCTGCCAGCGTATACACATACGTGTAGCGCCGCAGCGTGTCGGACGCCTCAAACTGCACCACCAGCGCCACCGCAGCTGCGGTCCCGCCGCTTGCCGCCACACCGAGAGCTGAGGCAGCCCCAGCCGCAGCCGACGAGGGTGCTGTCTCCGCTGTGATGTAGGTCGGGACCAGGCTTCGGGCGCTGCCTCCGTGGCCTCCGGAACCAGCGGCAGGGACCTCCAGTTCCAGCGTGGCGATCTGGTGATGGCGTGCGATTTGAAAAACACGTAGCATGCAATCGTCGTACGACACCAGCAGCAGCTGTCGGTGGCCGATGCTGACAGGGACGCATGCAAGCGCGGCGGGTTGGCGAGGGCGGTACAGCACGCCCGGGATGAGTTTGGTCAGCGCCCAGCTGCTGTCGCGTAGCTCGAAACAGCGGCTGGTGTTGCCATCGTCTAGCGTGGCTAGCGGGATGCATAACACGGAGCCGTTGCTGCCTCCGATCAACACTGCCTCCGGGGTTGCGGAGAGCGATGTGGGCGTGCCTAGGGGTGCTAGCTGCGCCGTGAGGTCCAAGGGCCGCAGCCCGGAGGCTGAGAGGCCGGAAAGGACTGCGTCAGCAGCGGCTGAGCAGCGGAGTTGCATGTGCAGAAGGTAGCCATTGCTGAGGAGGGCTGCCAGGATTAGCCGGCCGTCGCCGGTGCCCGTGGCAGCGAGCGCGGGGAAGAGCTGGAAGGGAGCCTCCACGGTCGTGCGCGGTGCTGTTGCTCCGCCATGGACTGTGAATTCGGTCAGGTGAAGTGCGCCGGTAGCGCTGTTTTCTATTTGCCAGAGCAGGCCGCGCTCCGGCTGCGCACTCGGGACGCACTCATTCAGGAAAACTGCTCCGCCCACACTCTGAAGGGTAAAATTGTATAAAGTATTGCTGCTTGATGGGCTTTGGCTAGCCCACGGCGGCGTCAGCGTCTGCTGTGGCTGCGGTGCATAAACAAAAGCTGTCTCTTGGCGCAGGGCTGAGATGAGGCTGCTCATTTTTGAGAGACCAAGGTGTTCATGGGGTTGTATTCACGGTTAGGGTGCGTGCTTGGCTGTGGACATGGTCCAAAATTGGCGGCACGATCGGCTTTAAGGGATAAGCAATACCAGCGCGATTGATCTGCTAAGGCCTTACTACGTGAGCTTTAGGAATGCAGGCCCTAAGGGTGTAAATCGATGGCAACCAAGCGGATCCTTTGCATTTCCCTCGCAATTCCGTGCGCCGTATGCCGTGACATACCAAGCAATGAAGCATACCTGCGATCGCAGCTTGACTAACCAACTCCTACCCATTCCTTGTATTTGGAGTACGTTCTTTTGCTGTTTGTTGCCGTGGCCCCATATCCAGAACCGCTGATAACTGATAGGCACCTCTTCACCCTACCACAGGCTGCATACGCCGACAGCTAATATCTTTATTACAATCCACATTTAGAAGGCTGGTGTAGGCAGGGCGAGAAAGCTAGAGCGTTGGAGCCGAAGGAACAGCCCAACAGTTGCCTGGATAGTCCCAACCCTAACAAACACCCAAGACAGTATAATAACCTTTCAGACGTAGCTGATCGGCCCTTGTATCCGGACACGGGCGGTGGCAGTGCCCTGGACCCATGAAGAAAGGCCCGGTATGGCGTCGCTCTATCCATGCCTTATTATAGTTCTGTACGTCGTTGGCTTACCTACATGCTCTTGCAGATTAAAATCGAGCCTTTCCGGCACCCTATCAGCGTCGACCCAAACTATGCCGGTCTGTGCTCTGACGGGGTTGGCTGTGGGACCCCAAAAGCTGATCGTGGGGGCGTTGTCAGGGTAACAGTATCAACTCCTTGCCTTGTATAACCGCGCAGAAAAGACTTGGAAGGTGCTTGAGGATGCCATCCGTGAAATCCACAACCAGAATGCCAGCGGCCTAAGCTTTGAGGAGCTGTACAGGTGCGCTTCCCCACGCCTCCCTTATCCGCGCTGTCTCGATCACATCCAGACACCCCGCGCGTGGGGTGGGGTTATGCCGTCAAGCGTTGATGACCACACGCATGCGTTCTCCCATGTCCATGTTTGCCCCCAACAGGAACGCATATAACATGGTCCTACATAAGCATGGGCCCCGCCTGTACGAGGGCCTCATACTGACGCTCAAAGCGCACTTGACTGACATCGCCAGCAAGGTTGAGGGCAAGGAGGGCGCTCCATTCCTCAAGGAGCTCAAAAAGCGCTGGGACGAGCATAACAAGTCGACCCAGATGATCCGCGACATCCTCATGGTAAGCCAAGCCACCAGGGTCCTCAGGTAGCCTCCGCAGAGTACCTAACATGTTGCACAGTCTCGTATCCCTACCGCCTAACCGCCCACCACCTACCCCGTCATCAACTTACGTCCAACCCCCGCCACTCCTTCTCTGCCCTCGTCCGCACCTGCACTGCCGCCTCACACCCTACTCCCTCGCCTCCCTGTCCCTCCCCACTCCCACCACCAGTACATGGACCGCACCTTCGTGGTTCAGCAGCAGAAGACGCCGGTGTTTGCGCTGGGGCTGGAGCTGTGGCGCGACCACGTGGTGCGCAACAAGCTGATCCAGGAGCGGCTGCTGGCCATCCTCATGCAGCTCGTCCTCAAGGAGCGACAGGTGGGGTGGTGAGAATGCCAAACCAGGGGAAGAAGGATAGGGTCGAAGAAATGCCTAAGCCGGGTAATAAGAAGTACCAAAGCACAAAGAGAGTGGGGTAGGAGGCAGCCAGGAGCGCAAGGTGGGGTGGTGGGTTGTGGGAACAAAGCAGCGCCTGGAGGCAACAGGAGGAGGAGGAGGAGGCAAACGTTGTTTAGCTGTTAGCAGCAAACCCGGTTAGAATTGCAGCATGATCCTGACTGCAGCGACATGGTAGGGGGAAGGCTGGACGTCTGGCAAGCATGCCCATGCATGTGGCGTGACTGTGCAGCAGAGCATGGCTTGGAAGAACGTTGCATGCCATGGTAAAGTGATCACATAGCGGAACCATCGGCACGTGCGACGGTTGGGGCGGTGATGCAGCCTGGCGTTGCCAGCAGCAGCGTACCTCAACCCTGAAGCAGTGAGGAGTGCAGCGTTAGCCTTCTGCCGGGGACAAGCCCTGGCAACTGCTCTAGTTGCTTCCCTCAGTATGCACCGCCCCTGCTCCTCATGCTCCTTATACCCCTCCTCAGCTACGAGGCACTCGGTCTGTAATTCAGCCAGGCGAGCCCCCACCTCTCCGTCATCGTCCCTGCATATCCGCTCCACTCACCCCGCCGCAAGCACACCATCACTCCCACCTGAACCGCACCCAACGCTGCTCCTCTCTGCTACCCCTCCCCTCCTGTTTCCAACACCCGCCCCTGAACCGCCCGACGGCCATGGGTTCGGCAAAATCCGCTTACCCTTCCCTGCACCTGCTCCTGCACCCCAACCTGCACCTGCACCTGCACCCCCAGGGTGAGCTGATTGAGCGGGGACTGATCAAGTCGGTGACTCAGATGCTGGAGGAGCTGGGGCACTCGGTGTACGTGGAGGACTTTGAGAAGCCCTTCCTTGCGTCCGCAGCGGACTTCTACAAGGTGGGGCGAGGGGGCGTAGGTCGGGGAGTGGGAAGGGTAACTGGGTTGGGGTCCTATACCAAGGTGGGGGCGAGGTATCGGTAAAAGGCCGGTACCCCATTCACCCTAATCCCCACGTCTCTCGTCCTTTCTCACCGCACCCCGCACAGAAAGAGGCGCAGGACTTCATCACCTCCTCGGACTGCCCCGAGTACCTACGCAAGGCGGAGCAGCGGCTGCAGGAGGAGCAGGAGCGCTGCGGCGCCTACCTGGACCCCTCCACGGAACCCAAGATCACGCGGGTGGTGGAAACGGAGCTGCTTCGGAACCAGGTGCGGTTATGAGTCCTATGGCGAATTGATATTGAAAAGCTGCATTAGGCCATGGGCACGGTAAAATACGGGCTTCCAACCTATGGGACCAAGCGTTCCTTGACACCCTTTTGCGCAACCGTGGACTCAACCGCACCCAGATGACAGCGCTGCTGGAGATGGAGAACAGCGGCCTCATCGCGCTGCTACGGGATGACAAGTACGACGACTTGGCACGACTGTACGCGCTCATGCGGCGAGTGGACAACGGCCTGCCAACGGTATGTACGGCTGGCAGCTAGCGGGGGCTGGCAGCCAAGAGCCACTAGCTGCTGTTGTGCGCGGCGGGGAGGCATGCGAACAGCGTGTGGGGATGCAAGCTAATGGGGGCTGTGGACCGTGGATGCCGTGGCATGGTGACCCGTGGGTCACCTAGGGATGTCCATGCTGCCGGCATATTCCCATTGCAGCATCGAGCCATGCTTTGCACCCGCGTCCACTCCCACCTAACACCAATCACATGCCATGCAACCCTATTAGTTCAATCTGACCACACCCACAGCTTAAGTTCAGGGCTAAAAGCTCAGGAAAACTGCAACATAACCCCATTTACCGCCTCAGGTCCGCAGCATGATGTGTGAACACGTCAAGGATGTGGGCAAGGCGATGGTGACGGACCCCGAGCGCACCAAGGACCCGGTGGAGTACGTGCAGGCGCTTCTAGACATGCGGGACAAGTACGAGAAGATCATCACGCAGGTACGGCACAGTCGTATGTACGGCATCTCGGCATGTGTGCCGTACAACGGTTGTCGTGTCTCACATGGCCCGCCCTCCTGGCGTATTGTGTTTCGGTTGTGTTTCGTCTTTCGTGCTGCTTGGAAATACTTTATTGGAATTACTTTATTTAGGATGTCTGATTTGGGCATTATGCTTTATGCATAGCCTTCTTGGAAGTGTTTGCGTGGCTCCTGACAGCTGGTGACCTTTTGGCTCCGCTTACGCAGGCCTTTGCGGACGACAAGACATTCCGCAACGCGCTAAACCAGGTCAGACACCAGCACGCTTAACACGCATGAGGAGTCGCAGCTTGCAATTACGGCAACCCCTCACTTGTTAGAAAGCCCTGATACGCACAAACCACTGTTCCCCTTTGCTCGCGGCGGAGAAGATGGAGACGCCCGCGCAGAACCATCACTGGCAGCATTACTACTTGATGCGCCTGCCGATCACAGTGCCACTACCCCATTGCTGTTTGCATGCATTGCATGCTCGTTCTATGCTGCTTCCCCCCCAGGCGTCTTGTGGCACCCTGCCGCCTCCTACCCCCTTTGTCTTGCCCTCACTTGTGGTTCGGCATTCCCTTGGCCCTCAGGCGTTCGAGTTCTTCGTGAACCTGAACGCCCGCTCCCCCGAGTTCATCTCGCTCTTCATCGACGACAAGCTGCGTCGCGGCATCAAGGGGCTCAGTGACACGGACGTGGAGAGCGTGCTGGACAAGGTGATGGCGCTGTTCAGGTGCGGCGGGCGGCCGGGGCATGGATTGGGTTCTGGGGTGGACGGATGGATGGGACTGGATGGTTATCGGGATGGATGGAAGGCGAAAGGATACCGTACCTACCCTTTCCATGCCATGCCATCATCATGTAGTTCTGCCCGTTGCTTTTATCGGCCCGAGCTCGTCTTTGTGTTTCCTCAATCTCGTGCTGTATTTGATTCATACGAGATGTGGGTGCCGGTATCCCCTATCACCCAAACCCTCTTGCTGCGCCCAAACAGGTACCTGCAGGAGAAGGACGTGTTCGAGAAGTACTACAAGCAGCACCTGGCCAAGCGGCTGCTGTCCGGCCGCACCACCTCGGACGACGCGGAACGCAACCTGCTGGTCAAGCTCAAGACGGAGTGCGGCTACCAGGTGGGGGCCGATGTCGCAAGTGCGCTACGTATGTATGACCCGTGGGTCGGTGTGGCTGTCGGAAACGAGGAACCGTCCTTTCTCTTTCTTCACGTCCTTTCGTATGGTAAACAGTCCGTAGAGATCTCTCCTCCACCTTGCTTCTTTTCCTCCTTAGTCCTTCCCCATCATGGCGTGCATGTCTGCTCCGCACGGCCACGAGGACCTCATCGTACAGTACGGTGTACGATTAAACGTGTTTTATTACCCTCCGCCCGGTATCTCCAGTTCACGAGCAAGCTGGAGAGCATGTTCACGGACATCAAGACGAGCCGCGACACCATGACGGAGTTCCGCGCCAAACTGGTGGAGGGCGGGCGGCTGGAGGAGCTGGGCGGCATCGACCTGCAGGTGCAGGTGCTCACCACCGGCTCCTGGCCCACGCAGGCGCAGTCCAAATGCAACCTGCCGCGAGAATTGGAGGTGGGTAGAAAGGGAGTAGGACTCCCTCCTAGTACGCTACCTGCAGATGTATCACATGAGGGATGTTGAGGGGTCCCTGTGCTCGCTCGCATGATTGGAAATGGGACTTATGAAGTCGGGTGCCCAGTGGTGAGCTAACCTGGCTAGGCAGCGCTCTCCGCTCTACTGCTCTACTACACTACACCCATGCGTTGTAAAGCCTTCATGTTGCCTGTTGCCCTGCCGTGTCCCGTGTCCGTCGCGTGGCACGCAGACGGCCTGCGAGGCCTTCCGCAGCTTCTACCTCTCCACCCACAGCGGCCGACGCCTCACCTTCCAGCCCAACATGGGCACCGCCGACCTGCGCGCCGTGTTTGGCGGCGGACGGCGGCACGAGCTCAACGTGTCCACCTACCAGATGTGCATCTTGCTGCTGTTCAACGAGCAGGACTCCCTGTCGTACAAGGACATTGAGCAGGTACGACTCCATGATGTGGTACACTGTACGACATGTCGTACACTGTATGTGACTTGGTATGTTCGTCTCCTTCGCGGCCTGTTTCCTTAACACTGGGTTGTTGGGGGACACTCAAAGGCTTCCTCCTTAGGCTTCTTCTCATGGGTCATGGTCATGGCACAGCCTGCAGTTTATTCTTAGTGTTGAAGTCCGAGCTGCATGCTCATGACAGGGCCCATGACAGAGGCGACGCCCTGCTAGCACTACCGGTCTTTCCAAACTCGCTAACGCTCGACTGCGCTGCGCAGGCCACCGAGATTCCGACGCCCGACCTGAAGCGTGCGCTGCAGTCCCTGGCCTGCGTCAAGGGGCGGAACGTGCTGCGGAAGGTGAATAGCGGCTTCCTTCGGGACCGGCTTGCAAGCCCCTTCACCCGGAACGCATCCAATCCCCATGGTGACAGCGTTTAGTCCGTTTGCCGTACGTATAGCAGCAACACACCGTTGGAGTGTGTTAGGCTGTAGTAGCAAACAGGAAACATCACCGAATACCGCAATACGTTCCCCTCATTACCGACACGCTTCACCCCATGCATGGATGCGCATTCTGGGGTATCCTCCATTCTTTCACCGCATAACCTCTTTAGGGATTCTAACGTCCATGCCCCCGCGTACATTTCAACCTCCTCTTTTCCAGGAGCCGGCATCCAAGGACGTTGCGGACACGGACATGTTTTACTTCAACGACAAGTTCACCTCCAAGCTCATCAAGGTCAAGATCTCCACCGTGGCGGCGACAAAGGTGCGCCCTTCCTGCAGCCCGCACTCCGCAGATGTGCTTTCCCAATGAGCTGCATGCGCTGCTCTAAGGGACTGTGTCCGGGAAGTGCCGAACATGTCGGTTGAGGCTCTCTTTGCGATTCGGAAGCCTGTTGGTTGCGCACTGGTAGCCGCTACCTGCCAGTCCGGTTGATATAGTCCGTTGCGGTTCTGTGTCTTCCCGGGAAGCTTAGCGGCCCCTGGCTTGCTTGGTCCGTTGTGCAGGAGGGCGACAACGAGAAGGCTGAGACACGGCAAAAGGTGGAGGAGGACCGCAAGCCGCAGATCGAGGCCGCCATCGTGCGCATCATGAAGGTAAGCGCAAGAGGGAGGAGCTTCTGAGGCGGAGGTTACGAGGCTAACACACTGCTCTGCGTGAACAATGTATAAACACTGCGCAGGCTCGGCAGCGGTTGGACCACAACACCATCATCACGGAGGTCACACGGCAGCTTTCGGCGCGCTTCGTGCCCAACCCCGCCACCATCAAGAAGCGCATCGAGAGCCTCATCGAGCGCGAGTTCCTAGCGCGGGACGAGAACGACCGCAAGTTCTACACCTACGTGGCGTAACCGGCTGTGAACAGCTGATTGAGGCCAGGGGTTGTGACGTAACCGTGGTTGTTGGGGGTTGGGCACGGCTGCGCCGTCTTGCATGGGTGTTGGCGTGGCATCATGCGGATCATGCCTCTGGGTAACATCCGGCAAGCACCTAACGAGCGGTTGGTTGCGGTAGCAAGTTGGTTCTTAAGTGTCCTGCTGTTGCACTCCGATGTCGGGCCGCGTTGTCTATTAGCCCGTTTGGTGCAGCGACAACAGCTGAGCGTGGGGTAGGCGTGGTGTTGTGCGGGTCGTGCGCAGGGGTTCGAGGAATGACTGTCCCGGGTAGCTGCCGTGGTTTGTCCAGTACACCCGAAGCTGGCAACGAAGATAGACGCGGAGACCATGCGCTTGTTTTGCAATTCTTTGAACCTTGCATATTGCAGTTCAGTGCTGGGGAAGATATGGAGTTTGGCGGGTGCAGGATGGCATCAACATTACTGAACGAGGCTTTACCGTACAAAAAGTACTTCTTATGTCTGGCTGGTGTGGGTCGTCACAGATGGGGTCGTCGTATGAAGGCGGTTTCTCGTTCTTATGTGGGCCTAGCACTGTGGTCAAGGGGGCTCCAGGTAGGAGATTCGTGCATCATGTTGAATGACGGAGGGGTTGAGACTTGAATGAGGGGCGTGTGGCCAGCTGCAGTTCTCAGGCTGACGACGTTTGCAGGGGATACACGGCTGGGCTGGGGGGCAAGAGCGCAAGAGTCAGGGCGCTAGTTAGGTAAGAAATTTGGAACAGCATCAGGCAAAAGTGAGGAGCAAGATGTCAGGCGTCAATTGGGCAGCGAGGCAGCAGATACATGCATAGTGAACAATGAATGGCAGAGTAGTGTCCTGAGCTGTGTTTGTTTGGCAGTTCCTGTTGGTTCCGAGGACGTGTGGATTGCGAGGTGTCACCCCATTCAGAACATAGATTGCATGGCCCCTAAGACGGGGTTTTTAGGGTGGTCACAGAGGCTGATACTGAAGTACGGTATGGTAGTGGGGTGTACTGGCTTATTGTAACCGTGCAACGGTGGCTAGTTACCGTATCAAATGCTTAAAAATAAGAGCCATGCGCATTATAGCATTAATGCCTTACAGTGCTGCACGTTAACAAAGTAGTCCCTTGATTTCTTGCTGCACGGTCTTCAGGCACAGGTACGTTAGCCTTCTCACGTATTGCAAAATACAAAAGCATATGAAGCAATTACTCTACAACCTAATCTGCAGCTTTCAATCCCAAGCATTCCCTACCAAGCCAAGTGGAGTCTGCCTCACCTTCCAGTCCAATCCTGACCTATGCAACAATGCAAGCCCAACACATCCTACCAGACGCACACTCCCATTTGGAGCTTCTGCCCCATACCCCCCTGCTTAGTCCACATCCATCCCACTTGCTGCACTTCAACCTTCCTGGCCTTTAGCCCCCTCCTGGCCCCCCCTCCATCCCAAGCAACATCCATGCCTCTTCCTCCTGCTGTCCGCCCTGCCACCCCTCGCCTTCCATCCTGCTACCCTTAAGCTGCCTTCATCTTAGATGCGCCAGCATCAAAGCACCAGCACAGCATGGACCCCAGTCGCCGCCTCCTCAGCTCCATGACCTGCAGGATGAAGCCGCCTCCCAGCTCCATGACCTGCAGGATGAAGCCGCCTCCCAGTTCCATGACCTGCAGCAAAGAACCATACGTTGAGTAACGATAGTAGTGGTAAACGCCAGCCATTCCTCAAACACTGACGAAAGGAAAGCAGCTTGGCAGCAAAGCAAGCGACAAAGATGAGACCAAAAACTCTGCATTCCCAACTCCCGCGGAACCACCCCTACCTCAGAGCGCCAGGTGGGTGGAGAACACCTCCTTCATCTTGGAGTAGTTCTCGATAATGTGCCATTCCCACCCCGCAATGCACCTGAGCTCCGGCGTCATGTGGATAGAAAAGGACTTCACCTCTGCGTCGAGCTCCTTGACGCTGGCGAAATGGACTTGGCTGTTCCTCCTCGTAATCAGGGCGCCCGACAGCTTAATGAACTCAGCCGGCTGCACGTTGAGTGCTGCAGCGATGTCCTGGATGTTGCGGTTGGAAGGTCCGAGCCTCCAAAAGCGCGTGGACCTTGATTTTTCCTTAAAGCCGAACAGTGCAGCTAGAAGCACCTGAGTGGCGAGGTTTTCAAGTCTTGGCTTTGCCAAGTCCGCGAACCGAAGTCCCGCCTTCTACTTTTCCTGCTGGAATTGCTCCTTAAGCCACTGCAGCTCCTGCTGGTACAAAATGTTTGGTGGGGCGTCGACGTGAACCTCGAGGTCGTCGTCGCCCAAGAGGACGCCGTCCACCCACTAGTCCTCACCTCCTTCCTCCCTCCCTCTCATCTGGAGAAATCCTCCCTCCTACCTTTTCCTCCTCTGCCCCCTCTTCCCCTCTTCCCTCTTCTCTTAGAGAGGGGCAGACGTGGTCTGGAGGAGGCGGATAGAGGGGGTGGGGGATAGTGGAGAAGGAGGGGGAATGGGTAGGGATACAGCCCACGCCTGTAGGCTTGAGCCCCTGACCAAAGCGCTGACGAGCCTCAGCAACCGTGCTATTTACTGCGTCCTGAGCAGGCGTCAAGGGAGGAAAGCACTTTGAGAAAAGGGTGCTCTCTGAGACGTTAGGAACTCCATTGATTCTCAAGAACACTAGGTTGGTACCGCGAAGAAACATCAAGGAAACAAAAGGATGATAGGCTCTGGCTTCAGGCGCAATGTCATAGGCACCAGTAATACTAGAACAGCTGCATATAGGCAGTTGGAGAAACCAAGCCTAAGAATGCAAGGCCGAAAGGGAGAGCGCTCGTACCCCGTCGGGAGTCTGAGGTCGTACAGGGCCTCATTGCCATAGTCGTCATATGTCGTCATAGAGCGTGCTGTGCTGGAAAGCATACTATGTAACATCTTTCCAGTAAGGCTATGACCCAAAGGATAATGTTGATTTCCAAATGAAGCTAAATCGAGGCTAAAGGACACGTTTGCCACGTGATATCCATCTAGTTTGGGGACAAGAGCCCGTGCATAGGGAATAATTAGCCTGCTATGTAAGGTACCTGCTTATGTTGAATGGATGACACACGACGCGTGTGATGCTTCCGGGACCCTGCATATGCATACAGCCGCTAAAAATAATCAGAGTTAGGTGTAATAGGAGCTCAGTAGCTCAGTAAAACAGAGGACGCCCAGACATACAAAACTGCCGTTTATGCATAAGGGTTGGATCGCCCAACGCACTGAATGCGAAGCCAGTCAACAGTATACGAAAGAAAGCGAGCCTCCATTCCGCGGGCTGTATGCTCCCCCCTGCTCCCCCCCCCAAACATCCAATAAACAGGTAAGCCTCTCAGCCCATGCGAACACACTCGGCGTGTTCTCCCATGCGTCCTTGCCACACGTCATACACTCGTCGTACAGCAGGCTTGCAGCCTCTCCATCGTGACATCTTCCCAGCGGGGCACCAAACCCTGCTCACGCATCAGCTGGCACATGGTCCCCCGGGTGACAGGTGCGACAGTGCCTACACCCAACAATGCATTCACCAGTTCCTTTAGTATTACACATACCCCAACACCATGCGGCGCGCTGCCCTATGAGTGCCCTGCATACCGTACAAATGGTACAGCACCATCGTACACACTGCACAAGTCTTCACGCACCCTGCATTAAATGCTTAGGCTACGAGCACAAGGTTCCAGGCAGGACCCTCATGGTCCATCTTAACAAGTCCATCCTAAAAATAGGACTGAAGTGAAATACACACGCCGCATGAAGGGCTAGTCGGCACGTGCTCTTCACCCGTACACCCGAACACACCTATTCGCTCTGTGATTCCCTACATGTCTCATCCACACATGTTGCTGGGTTACCAGCGGACGTCATCCTAGCGCTCCGTCTGCATATACAACTAGATCCCACTCGACAAAACACCTGCCAGGTATTTATCAATGTTACCACACGCAGCATTGCCGAAGTTAGGCGCAGCTACACATCGCGACAACATAATGCTAGTAACACATGGTAGCAAATCTTGTGCAAGGTCTCATGACTAGGTAACGAACATACTTCGCTAGCCTGGCGTAAGCGTACATGGTGGCCGTACTGCCGTCCTGTACGGGAATGCCCTGTACGGGAACATCATGTCCCAGAAACTAGTACAAAACTAGTCAGCAGTACATAACGGCTGCGTACCCGCGGAACCCACAATATTAGACATCAAGCCTGCTTATCCAGCCAAGCGGCAACGGGTGGCCTTCCACTGCCTACTATGTCACATAACGGATGAGCGGCTGTGAGTTGCCTTCATAGTGGAATGTAAGGTAGAGCATCTGGTACAGATAGAGAGGTTTTTGCAAGTACCTTGGTTATGCAACCTGCCAGGGTTGTCGTGTGGTGTTACTTCGAAATATCTTGTATCTGAGCATATTCGTACCAGGCTAGTATTCTCATTATGAAGCAAAAATAAGGACTAATGCGTGCATATAATATACAAGAAGTGTATGTGGCGGCTTGCTAAAGAGGTTCCCACGTTCTCGCCAATCCGGCAAATGACATGACATTCGTCCCTCGGGTCGAGGCAGCTGAAACGTGAGGTTTTTTGAAGCAAAACGCGTATCTAATTTCCTGCAATATATAGATGCTGCAATATGTTACAAGATTACCTGATAACGCGCAAAACATATGACAAGGGCGGGAGTATCTTGGGTTGAGCATAACAATGAGCCGCGGCTTGGGGATGTAGAGAATATACTCAAGTATTAATTTCATTTCCCCGAACACCCTAAGCACTATGGCTAATCCGTGTCGTACGTCGGACCTAATCAACGGCCTGTATATGCGAATCGTTTGCGCATAAACGGTACTCTGTTTGAATGCTTATGCACATTTAAGCAGAGCACAGGCTCTGCACCCTCACTAGGTCTGAGGCGTCTGCGGGCCAATCAGGGACACGATGGGTGCCGGTGGTGACGGCCGCCCGGTTCGGGATGGGTATATGCGTAGGAACTTTTCCCTTGACAAGCTGAAGAACATTACAAATGTCAAGGATGACCTTACAGTGCTGCGCCATATGTGGTTTGGCAGCAAGAAGGGCGACGATCACGCAGCTCGGCTGGAGAGTTTCTACGGACCGCAGGCCGCTGCCTGTGAGTTTCAATGTATTATAATTTAGCAATACCCGCTACGTGTTTTTACCAAGAAGGCGGCGTCTGTCTGCAGACGATGCCTTCCGCTCAAGGTTCCTATGGGGCCGCAAGCCGATGCTGGCCGCGTGTGCTGCTCGCCTTGCCGACCGCTCTAACCTGATTTGGGTTGACCTTGGTGGAGGTACTGGGGTAAGTTATGCTGCGTTTGCACGTGGACGATGGGGTTGGTATCTCGCGCCATCCCGCCGATCTCTGTTCCCCGGGGTTGCCTCGCAGGAAAACGTGGACCTGATGTCTCAGTACATCGACCTTACAAAGTTCAAGGCCATCTACGTGGTGGACCTCTGTCACTCGCTGTGCGAGGTCGCCAAACGCAAGGCGAAGGCGAAGGGTTGGAAGAACGTGCATGTCGTGGAGGCGGACGCCTGCCAGTTCGCGCCAGCGGAGGGCTCCGCCACGCTCATAACGTTCTCGTACTCGCTGACAAGTAAGCGGCAGCAGGAGACTTGCCGTGTCTACCGCCGGCTGCCGATCATAACTCCGATGGCCCATTTTTTCCCTGGCTACAGTGATTCCGCCGTTCCACGCTGTCATCGACCAGGCTATTTCATACCTGGCGATGGACGGCCTGGTCGGCGTCGCAGACTTCTACGTCAGCGGCAAGTATGATCTCCCGATGCGCCAAATGCCGTGGTCCCGCCGATTCTTCTGGCGGTAAGCAGCTTTGATTACTTCGATATAAATATCTGTATACTGGTAGATATAGGACTGGCCCCCAGAGGCGAGGACAGCTTGTCCCTAGAAGTTTTTGCTTGCACAGCGACGACTGACAGTCCATACTGCTAAGGCTTGTAGCTGACTCTTATCCCTTCCGTTGTAAAGGGCAGCAATCTTAGTGTGCTGCCGTCGTAGCACTATAACGCACTGGTGACAACCCATCCCAACCATGGCTGGGCGCTTTGAAGTAAAGTACCATCGGCTGCCAGTATCCTCTCAAGCATCCCCGTCGTTACTTCAACATGCCTCCCGTCTCCTGTCTTTTGCAAGTAGGCCTTAGCACCCCATCGCCGTTTAACCTTCTGCCCTGTTAGGTCAATCTTTGACATTGACAACATCGACGTCGGCCCGGAGCGGCGCTCCTACCTGGAGCAGAAGCTGGAGCGCGTGTGGGAGCAGAACAGCCAGGTAGGTGGGGGGTGGTGGAGGCACAGTCTGGGAGCATGGGCGGGCTAAGGGTCTCCCAGCGCCCGCAAGCTATGCAAGGGTTTGTGCGCTGCACGAAGCAGTTTGCAAATGGGTCCGGGCATCATAGGATGGCTTCCAGATGGTGAGCAGTGATGAAGGTCTATGGCATAACTGCGTTTCACCTGTAGACGTGTTAAGTCACCTGGTGTTTAGGCAATTCCCATTTGGGTCGCCGTTGCGTTGGGCGGCGCGTAGGGAAAGTTGTGTCTGTAGACGTCCACCATATCACACCCATTCCCTCAGTCCTCCTGAGAAGGACTGAGGGGATGCCCAGCAGTCATAGGGAAGCAACCGTATGGAGTATAGCGAGATCATCGCGAAGTCCTAGGGGAATCCTAACTCACTCGCTCTGCTTTCCCTCTGCATGCAGGGCTCCATTCCCTACGTACCCTGGCTCCGCGCCCCCTACTACGTGTGGCTCGGTCGCCACCCCAGCGTTGGACGTGAGTTGCGGGGTCGGCGGGTCTCCGCTAGGCTTGTTTGGGCATGCTTACATGCTTCCATGCCCTCCTCCAAGCCCTCCATCCTAGACTGCCCTGCACGGCTTGTTGGGGGCTAGTCCTTCCGGCTGCACTAGCACGTCTCCCTTTACCGCCCTCCGCGTATCCAGCTGTCCCTCCGCCTCCTAACCCTTAACTCATGCTGGCACGCACGGCGTCTTACCTCGATCGTCCTCCTGCTTTGCTTGCCCATGCTTTGCAGACGCGCTGCACGAGGAGCGCGTGGAGCGGCCGCCGCTGTTTCCGCCCACCTTCCTGTACACTCAGTCCTGGGAGGATCCGGAGCCCGACATGGAGGTGGGTGGGCCGGCCTGATCCATCGTGCTTTGGATGGGTGGTGATGGGTAAAGGGGTTGTGGCTGGCGGGGTGCTCGTTTCCTCATCTGTTGTACTATGCGCTACTGACAGCTGCCGATGCCACACTGCCGCACGATGCCCTCAGGTGATGGAGATCAACAAGAACGACACGGTGCTGACGCTCACCAGCGGCGGCTGCAACGCCCTCAACCTATTGGTGCACGGTGCCGGACACGTGAGTGCGCTTGCGGGGGGGAGCTTGGATGTGCGTCACCAACACCGCCACTAGCGGACCGTTAGCGGCTGTCTCTGCATGCAAAGCCTCTCAGCTTCATTGTACTAGTGCTAGTTTCACGCGCCCTGGCAATGCGCATGATGCGAACTTACCCGGTTGCAGGCCTGTCGGTCATGTACTGCTTAGCTTGCATCGTACAGCGGAAGGAAAGCGATAGGGCACAATCCCATGCGTCTTTCCTGCGCTCGATGATGACAATTATGTGTCCCAACAGTCTGAGGGGACTTTGGTCGGTACCCTTTCTTGATGAATACCGAATATCATCTTTCGGGGCTGAGAGCCAGGAACGCCATCAGAAAACCACTCGCAGCAAAACACACGCACGGGCTCGAATTGTGGCCCCTCACCGCATCACCGCATGGCCTGCCACCCATGGCACGCATGCCTCCTCCCTCGCAAACCACCTGCACACCTCCCGTGCATGTCCGATACAACCTATCTCGAGCAACATTCCAATGCGTTGTCATCTATCATGCCTTCACGCGTTGCTCACATCTGTGTGCGAGAAAACCCGACAACTGACCAGCTGGCCGCCATCTGTATCCCCAGGTGGTGTCTGTGGACTGCAACCCGGCGCAGTCGGCGCTGTTGGAGCTGAAGAAGGTGGCCATCGAGCAGCTGGAGTTTGAGGACGTGTGGCAGGTGGGTGGTTTAATCAAGAGAGAATTGACGAGGCAACTTACAAGCTGGGTGGGTGGGTGGGGCTATGTGGTGGGTGGCTACGGAGGGGCTATGGAGGCTTTAGTACGGTGGTATGGCGACAGGAATGGGGGTTGCTGGAAGTTAATGGTTGCTAATGGTCTCTCTGTCCGTATGGGCTGCCGTGCAACTATTGCTCATATGCCTCCTCCGCCGCCCAATCCAACTCGACCACCTCCCACCCTCCTCGCCCTGCGCAGATGTTTGGCGAGGGCGTGCACCCGCGCATCGAGGAGCTGTACGAGAAGAAGCTGGCGCCCTTCCTCTCGCAAACCAGCCACAACTTCTGGTCCAAGCGCCTCTGGTACTTCCAGCACGGGCTTTACTACCAGGGCGGCATGGGCAAGCTGTGCTGGGTGCTGCAGTGCCTTGCGGCTGTCACCGGGCTGGGCAAGACGGTGAAGCGGCTCGCAAACGCGCCCACCCTGGACGAGCAGCGGCGCATCTGGGACAGCAACTTCATCATCCACTTTGTGAAGCACGGGCCCAAGCTGCTGGTGTGGCTGTTTGTCAAGTTTGTGAGCCTCATGATGTTCAACAAGGCGGTGCTCTGGTTCGGAGGCGGCGTGCCGGGTGGGTGCTGGGCTGGGACGTGAAGCGGGAGGTTTCCGGGGCTAGGAAGGCACGTAGCGCGTCGCTGGCCAGGACATGCGACGCCGGCAGTCACCCAACCACCTCGCCACTGCTACACCGTGCATGGGTACATGTTGCATGGCTAGGTAGTATGGTTGTTGTTCAACCCTAAGCACTTGACTTCAGCTCGCTTCACTTCTCACTTCATGCCCCATGCCATCAACGGTTCACGTCGAGTGTTTCCTTGCGGATTAGTTTACATATCCCCATGCCTCACCATGTTTACGTGTCCCCTAACACCACCACCCCGGCATGTCCACTCCCACAGGCAAGCAGTACGCGCTCATCAAGGCGGACGGCATCCCCATTGAGCGCTACATCGCCCGCACCATGGACGGCGTCGCGGAGAACAGCCACGTGCGCAAACAAAACTACTTTTACTACAACTGCCTCACCGGCAAGTTCCTGCGCGACAACTGCCCCACCTACCTCCGGGAGCAAGCCTTTGCGCAGCTCAAGGGAGGGCTGGTGGAGCGCCTCACCGTCGCCACCAACTTTTTCATGGACGAGCTCAAAGCCCGGACCTACACCAAGGTGGGAGTCCACGGCACTAGGAAGCCCCGCGATGGGTCCATGTGCTCGTGATGAGTTGACAATATAGCTGGTGCTCTTTCTCCTTTCTCCTCACCCCAGCTCTAGAACCCCAAAGCCCGAAACCCAAAGCCAACTGCATCCTGCTCCCCCTCCACTTGTCATCTTGTTTGACATTCTCACTAAACACATGCGGGTATTCTTCTTTCCCCTCTCCTCCAGGTCATCCTGATGGACCACGTGGACTGGCTCGACCTCCACATCGCCCAGCAGCTCGCGGAGACGCTGGCCCAGCAGGTCGCCCCCGGCGGCATCGTCATCTGGCGCTCCGCCTCGCTGCAGCCGCCGTACGCGGAGCTCATCCGCAAGGTGGGCTTCGACGTGCGCTGCATCCGCCGCGCGAGCGAGGGCTACATGGACCGAGTCAACATGTACAGCTCCTTCTACGTGGCCCGCCGCAAGGGCAAGAAGGACTAGAGGGCTGCCGGGGGCGGTGAAGGACTAGAGGGCTGCCGCCGCATACCAAAGGAAGCGGCGTACGTGGATGAGAGGAGGGCTGGGTGTGGATGGGGTTGCGCTTGGTGTGTTATTTTGCTGGTGGTGGTGGTGGGGATGATGCCTGATTGCTGCTTCGAGAGTTTGTTGAGCCTAAGAGGCAGCGAGGCGTGACACGGGGACGAGGAGAGCCTGGCGAGTTGAACGGCTTTTGCCGCGGCGCTACGGTTCGCGTGGTGAGGACGTATGCGAGGGCTAGGTCTGGTATCCGGTGTAAGGCCGCCTATCTCGCTTGCTTGGAACTTCTTTTTGGGTATAGAGCGCTGTCGTTCTGTTACGCTCATGGCTGTATGTACCGGCTGGTTGGATGCATCAAACGAATGAGAGTGTGCAATAAGACAGCAGGAAGAATTGTTTATATGTCGTGCGCCGATCGCTGGTGCGAATTTGAAATTAGAAGCAGTCCGGTGCTCAGGCTCCGGCCAGCCCTCTGCTTGTCAGCTGTTGCGGGAAACGGCAGGGGCACATGTGTGGCTTGCGTCGTAAGGTCGTGAGTCGAACTACGTTTGCAAGCACCGGAGCTAGGGAAAGGGACTCGCGGGATGTTGAGCTGCGTTTATTACTTGGAGACCTGGTTTGACTGCATGGGGGTGCATGCCTAGGGACGTTTGACCCTTGTAAAGTGCCCTTTCGGTCTTCCATAGGGTGGGAACAGGTCAGGGAAGGCGTGCGGTGTGGTCTCCAGCGTCGCTTAGGTTCACACTGTGTTTGCTGCTTTCTCGTTCCGTGAGAATGATATTGTGTGCTCCTTGACGATGATGATTGGTAATCTTTTATTGGGTTTGGGGTTGTTGTTCCTTTCCGAGTATGTGGTTAGGACACGGGCTGTTGTTATACCGGTATGGTTTGCATGGTACATGCCGTTGTTTGTGGTTCTGGTCAAAACCGCGAGCCGGGTCCTCTTGTGGAGGCTTCCTGTGCCGCTTTCCCCTCTTTTGTTGACGAGAGGAGGCAGCCCGCTCGCGTTTTGCTGTTTCGTGTCTATTTCTCAGACAAACAGCACGGCCCACAAAAACCTGTGGGAATTTGTGCGCCTTGTACCAATCCCGCGACGTATTGCTGGGTTGACTCGAGTCTACATCTTCCAGGTGCAAGTTGGTTCGTTTGCGGGACAGCTAGGGATGATTCACAGATTTGGCACGGCACGTTCGGCAATGGACGTGTTATCTGTGGAAAGTATGTAGCGGTACGAGGCCGTGGTATTCTGTACAGCTCTTCACATGGGGATTTTATGCCCCCTTTGCAGGCGTCAGTTACGGACAAGGACGTCTAAAAGCCGTTTGTAACCACTAATTCGAAATTCTCACTTGCTGTCATTCCTTATCCCATGTATTACAGTTCGTGCAGCTATTCTAGTCCTAACGCGCGGGTAAAATTTGAATTAATGTCCCTTCGTTGTAAAACAGCAACGCTCGTGTCTACGTGTTCATTGCACCGGCCTCTCTCCCTAAATGATGAATAGCGCAGGAATCACCAAAGTAAGTTGGCCATGCGGCTCATCATCAGCCGCTCAGCTCTACCAGCTGAGGCTTATCAGAGGAGGGCAACGTTCCTAGCCCGCAACAGATGCTACCCTATGCAATGCACAAACAACACATTACGTGACATCATCCAAAATCGTGGCTCTCTTTGGCGCCCTCAATGCAACCAATACAATTTACTGAGTGAACACCCGAAAAAAAACACCCAAAACCCACCACTCCTCCAAGCATGCGCTGCATTTTCAGCAGGAATCGCTCGAATCCCCTGTCCACATACTAGGAGGATCGTGGCCTCCCTGGCAATTCTTTCCCCCTCGTCCATATGCTGCGTCTAGCGCAATACCTCTTCCCCCCGCTTGGGCCTGGCCGACACATCAAACATTCCTCACCCCGCAACTGCGCCCCCAACCATCAAAACGACACAAATACCCAGTCAAAACTCAACGCCCGGCAGCCCATCACGTCCTCTGCCCCAACAACACGAGGGTGGTTAAATCCTATTCCCTAAGGAGATCCATCCACCCTCGCAAACAGCTCCATGCAACTGAATCCGATCGCCCCTCTGCCACCCCACACCGCACAGTTCTAGACGCCAGGGTAACACGCACGAACCGCTTCTTCACCCCATCCCGCGACTGCACCGCCGCCGCCGTCGCTTTCACTCCACCTCTGCCGCCGCCTCGGTAATCGCGGCGCTACGCGGCCCCTGCGAGTCCAGGTCACCAGAGAGGGTCCTGGGAGTCGGGGAGCCCTGGGTCGGGGAAGCCACACCGCCGCTTGGGGCTCCTGGTAACTTGGTGGCGTCTGCTGCCCCGGTGCCGCCTGGGAGGATCGGGAGATAAGGGAGACGAGATAAGGGAGAAGAAGGCATAAGGATAACACAGAACAGTGAACGAGGGATGGGATCCCTGGGAGCCGAGACAGGAGTGGGCGATGAGAGGACGAAGAACGCCGCTCAGCCAGACAACCCCATCCTCGTCCCTCGCCCCTTCTCACCATGCTTCAAGCCAAGCGCCACTCCTCGCGCCGAGGCCACCGCACCACAACCCGCACCCTCCGCCTCCGTCGCCTCTGCAACAGAGCTACCCGCACCCGACGCCGCTGATGCCCTGCGCCCCGACCCCAGCCCCGGAGGCACCGACCCTCCGCCCGGACGCTCCCAAACCAACGAAGACGAGGTGGCTCCGGTGGCTCCGGAAACCTGGTGCTGTAGTACAGTCCCGCTCGTGGATCCCGGGCCGTGCATGCTGCCGCCGCCGGTAGCCATGCCCGGCCCCAGCGGCAGCGACGGCAGCTGCGTAGATGCGGGGCTAGCAAGCGGCTGTTGCAGGGTTGACATTTGGACTGAGGATTGTGATTGGGACAGGGGGAATGATGACCCATGGGTCGATCCATGCGCGCCCGCGCCACCACCGCCGCCGGCGATGAGGAAACCACCGGGTTCCGAAACCGCGGTAACGACGGGCGCGTTTGTGGCACGTAATGGCGAGGGCGCGGAGGGCGTCTTGACGCCGACGTCGTGGCGGCTGGCGGCAGCGGAAGGGGAGGAGGAGGCGGCGGCGGCTCCGCCTGCCGAGTCGTTGCGCAGGAGGCGACTTACGCCGGCGTGGCGAATCTCCACCTACGACGACACGACATGGCACGAAGGGTCGGAAAGGCCGAGGAACGGCTGTCAGTGTGTCGGATTGCATACTTTCCAACTTGCCGCGCGCAATCTGGAATCAAAGGGTTTACTGCCGCCCTAGCTTCCTGCTTCGCCCTGCTTTCTGCACAGAACATCCTAGGCAGCAGCAGCAGCAGCGGCTCCAAAGGGCACCATCGCACCCGTATCCTAAGTTTCGCATTACCCATGCGCCGGCGGGCCATCCAAGCCCAACCCAAGGTATCCGGCGCTCACCCGAACGTGCGACCCCTGCTCCCGGTTGGGGATCTCCTGCCTCCAGGGCTCCCCGTCCAGCTGCATGTAGCAGTGGCTGGGCTCGCCGTCCGGACGACCATGCGGCGCCTGGGGGCAGCAACGGACAGTTTCGGGAAAGCTCAGCGCTACTGCCTTGCACTCTTCCTAAAGCCATGCAGCAGTGCAAGGCGTCATCCAGTTCTCGCTCACCCCAGCTGCCCCGACTCATCCCAGCTAACACCTATCAGCCATCAATCACCCCAGCAAGCAGAGCCCCACGCCGCCCCCTCACTCACCTGCACCGCGAGCCGCACCCCGGCTGCCTGGCAGATCCGCCGGCCGTGCAGCAGCGCCCCCTTTGACGCCATCACCGCGCCCGTGTGCCAGCCGCTCAGCAGACCCACCACCTGCCGCAGGGCATGGGGGAGGAGGGGGTACAGGATTGATGAGGTTACTTTGGCATGGGGTTAGGTTGACACGGGAACATGATCGAGTACCGTACTGCGCTACGTACCTCGAGCGTGCCGTCATTGTAAGCAGGCTCCTGCCAGCCGCGTTTCCGCTGCTCGGCGGCACTCGTGCTGCGACCCCACAGGTTGCGTCCGCCGCCGTAGCTCTGCGGGGAGAACATTGCAAAGAGAAAACCAAAACGCCCGTAAGGAAAGGAAACCGCAGGTCAACGGACAAAACAGGGGAGCTCTGCGAGGGAGCACCCAGAAGCCACGATGTCGCTCTCCCATCGAGCTCTCCCGGGGCTTAGTCGTTTGACCGAGCCCCAGACACCCCCATGTTATTTTTGCAAGACACACATGTACATACGCTACCATATTCCTCGGCTCCTGCGGCGGTTCTGTGGGGACTTCATCTTCCGACATCCCAGTACGTTCCTACTCGCGGCCAGTTTTCTTAACACACGGCACATCCCAGTACGTTCCGACTCGCTGTGCCAGTGCTGTTAACACGCGCGCAGGCGCACCTGCAGGTTCACCACCACCAGCGCCCGGATGTCCGGACTGAGCTTCACCGGCTGCCAGCCCGCCGCATCCCCCCCGGGGCCCGGTCGGAGCACCTCCAGGCTCACTTTGAGGTTGAGCGGCTGAGCGCAGCAGAACCAGCCTGTGCGGGCGCGCGGGTGCACACATGAGACATGTTTAGGCAATGTGGGTAATGTGGGTATGGAAACAAATGATAAGCGCTATCCACAGCTTGGCAACAGCTCCTCTGTTGCCTGCTCTTACTAAGCGACCAGCACACACCAAATCACTCAACTCGAGCCCCAACCGATCTCTTCCCCCCAGCACCTGTCGTACACACTCACCTGTCGCGCACCCAAAGTAGGAGTACCAGAACTGGTTAACTCGGCGCGAGGAGGTGCAGCCGGGCCGCTGCTCCCGCAGCGAGTGGAAGCCCCAAGCGGCAGCCGCGTCCAGGCCCACGCTGAAGTAGTTCCAAAACATGCCCTGCAGGCAGGGAGGAGGAAGGCAGGCGTCCGAATACAATTGGAGTGAATTTAAGAAAATGCGAGAGAAGGCAGGCGTGCAGGGAGAGACCAGTAAGACAGGTTCCGGGACCGGGCGGTGGTGGTGCTTAGGAGCACCGCAGGCGCTACGTGCGGAGAGCCGTAACAAAAGGCTGTGTTCGCTTATAGGAGCTCAGTGTGTTTTGGCCTTGTACAGAGGCGTCTTGAGGCAAGTAGGTACCGTAAGTTGACAAGTAGGCATCGTTACCGACACCGCGTTACTTTCTTTCACTGCCGCGTTTCAGTTCCGAGTCCGGCCAGGTACACCGTCCTACCATCATGCACCCCACGCCGCTCTCCTCCTCCGCCTGCGTGCTCATGGCTCCAGACACAATGGTGGGCGGCACCGAGTTCCCAGCCTGCGCCGCCCCCGTGTGCATTGACATATTGGTGGCAGTCGTGAACGTCGTCGCCGCCGAACCAACTGAACTCGTCGCGATGTTGTGCAATGGCGTCGCCGACCCAAGGGTCGCTACCACACTCGCCGCGACGGATCGGTCGCCCGTCGGCGGCGCCGCCGAGGGAACTAAAGAGTCGCGAGTGGTGCTGGGAACGGTGGCAGTGTTGGGAAGGCTGCTGCTGTGCATGCGGCCGTATCCGGAGACGCCAGGTACGGAAGAGGGAGCTGAGATACGGCCTGTCGTACTGGGACCGTACGGCAGGTTGGCGGCGGCGGCTGCAGCAGTGGGCTGTGGTGGCGAGAGGCCGTGCGGGAGCTTCTTGGGGTCAAACATATCTTTCCGAGGCGCTGTAATGACAAAGCTCCAGCAATCGAGACTGTCCTCTGAGGCGGTCGCGATCTGTACGGCATTGCAACGATATGTAGGGCGTTGAAAAGACAGCCAAAGAGGGAGGAGGAGGGACATGAGAAGAGGGCATGCGAATGGGAAAAAGCGTTGTGGAGGTGGTGCTTGGATTGGCGCTACGGGTTTGCTGCGGTAGCTGCTCCCAGCCCGCTCGCACCTAGCCGGCCTCTGGCCACGTACTGGTATTCCTGAGCCCGCCTACCAGGTCAAGGCAGCAGCAGCCATTGTCACATGACACTGTGATTGCCGGACTTCATCTTCCGGCAAGCACAGTACGTTCCGCCTCGCGGCCAGTTATTTTAACACATGACTAGCTAGTCCCCGCCCCCCACCTACCCGATTGAGGGTCTTGTACATGGACCGGCTGTTCCGCGTCCACTTGCTGCTGTAGGCGTGGCCCCACAGGAAGCTGCGAGCCAGGTCGTTACCTGTCCAAGATCAGGAAGTTACCGGTAGCAGGGAGGGAAGTTAGGGACCGCATTAGGGACATACAGGAGGCCTACGGCCGGTGACGGCGGAATGCTACCGTGGCTCCCACACCAGGCTCTTCAACCTGACATGAAAGCCGGCAACCGAAATTTAGCTTTATAAACCCTCAGCTACCCGTACCGCCGTTACCGCCCGTTACCGTTACACCCACCCACCCGTGCCCAACGGTATGATCGCGATGGGGGGTTCCGGATCCAGTTTGAGTTTCTTAATGGCGCCCATGACCCAGGCAATGGTGCCGTCGCCACCGCACACCACCAGCCGTAGCCGCTGCCTGAGCATCGCGACCCGTGGGTCACCCGCCGCCTCCTGGACGCGCATGTTTTCGTAGAGCTTTGCGAGCACCTTATCCGGCCAGCAGGCTGGGTTGCCGATGTCAAACACCTGGGGCGGAGACGAGGACGGGGTTGCATGGCTCGGCGGCTGTGAGGTAGGAGCAGCAGCTCTCAGTGCCGGTGTCCGTGTCACGGCGCCTGGAACCCCCCAAGTCCAACCAACTGGCGCGCCTCAGGATGGCATCAGGGCTACCGTATCCAGGCTTGGCCGAGTGCACATGCACCCACATGAGGGATAAAAGCCATGACCTAGCGTGCATTATTGCACTCGCATCCCATAGTGTGCGTGTGGCGCCTGTGTACCCCCTCAGCTCGCACCCCCCAGTCAGCACCTCCACCCCTACCTCACCCTTCGCACCCCCCCTCCCAACATGGAGGGCCCCCTCCCAGACCCCACTACCGCGCCCACTCACCAGCCCGCCCACCCGACACCGCCACCACCACCACCACCACCACCCCGCACCCACCTGCATCTTGCCGATTGCCCTGCTGAACTTAAGCGCCAGCTGCGCCCCCTTGCGGCTGCCCGACTGTGCATTCACGAAACACAGCAGCGGACACTCCATCAGGTACGACACCCCCTGCTGCTCCTCCGGCAGTATTCCGCGGAGCAACGACCCGGGCACCCTGTGAATGCATGCAAGTGCATGGGGCGTGTAAAACCGGTATGATGGGGGTTATTGCGGCGGTTGGTGGCTGGAAGCATTCAAGCATCGAGCGTCAAGGGCTGAGGGCGGTTGGGTTTGGGGTTTGGACTGCCGTGCTGGTGAAGGGTCCAACGCAGCGGAATCATGCAAGTAGACCCGTACGGCAAATGTGTACAGACGGACCCTGGAGGAGGTCCGGAGGACCGTGTTTGTTGTGCTTGGGGAGAGCCGAGCGACGGAATTTATGGGCTTTACTGAGCGTATAGCGGCGCCTGGTTTGGGGAACTCACTCATACGGCGCCCCAAGCGTATCGGCTGCTCGCTGCTCCTCATAGCTGCTAACGACCCTGGGAGAAGCCATGTCCAGATGTGCTGCTTTAGTCGTCCTGGTCCTCGAGATGAGGATCTGCAGAGGGTGTGCAAGGCGCCCGGGTGGATGATTCAGCTGGAAGACATGGCAACAGGCGAGCACGGAGCGATATTGGACTAAGTTGGTGGAGGTTCGGAGCGCAGGGAAGCGCCATGCAGCTGACGAACGAGGGTTTCCCACGACAGCTCCGTGAAGGGCTTCTTCTCAAGGCATGTATGGTCAACCTCAGCGGAAAGCACCGTCCCAGAGGCGAGGCAGGCAATCCTAGTGGGTGACCCGACAACGCTAATGCCGGGACGGCCTCACCAGCAAGCTTGTTCCGACGTGTCGCGAATACTTAGCAAGTAAGCCAACACGTGTGTGGCTCTCGCTCCTAGTCAGCGGCGAGAGGCTGGCGCACTTCTGCTTGCTCGTTAACCCAAACAGCTCGTGGACCACTCGCGCACGTTGAAGCGAGACTTAAGCACACTGGGTGCCAGCTGCGTTAGCAAGCAACATTCAGTGTCAACGGGTCAATGAAAATTGTTTCGTCTGTATGGCTGTGAAAGACGGACCAGTCACCGGTCAAGGTAAGTCATTTTCAGCTAATGTGAATTGTGGGAGTCGTAAGTAAAGGAATCTTGCCAGGTATGTTGCAACCCTATCCTGACTGCAAGAGGGTTTGTCATGTAAGGCATACGGCTTGATGACATTGGATTCAATGCACACGTTACACGGACAGGAGCAAACACTGCTTTCTCAGATAGCTCTATACAATCCATATTTCCAGACATATTCCCTATATTATACCAGAACAGATACCAAGATGTTGGCACGCTTCGCAGCTGGCACTCTCTCACGGACAAGGCAGTCAGGTGTGAAGATCACATCAGTATTTGCGCTGCAAGCCACTTGACTTGAAGCCTTTAGCGTACTGAAGTCATAACCTGTCTGGCGGAACGCAGTTTCGTCAACCTCATGGCTGCTCAGGCGGCAGTTCTCAACTGATGCGGACTCCCATGATGACTTCAAGCCAAAGTTCGCCGCCTCTGGGGAGCCGGCGAGCGTCGAAGAGCAGATCAAGCAGTCTATCACAAGCGACAAGGTCCATGTCTTCATGAAGGTAATGTTAGCGAAGGGGCGCCGGAAGGACGGGGGCCCTGCCGAGTACACGCGCATGACGTTCCCGCCCGTGGCCCTGAAGTGGGCATGCGTGGCCAGACGTGGGGCTAGCTGCGCTCCTGTTACTCCCCCGACGGGTTATCGATGCCACATCCACGCATCCCGCCACCACCTGCACCCGACCTCTTTCCCACGACGCATCTAAACACACACGCCTATTTCGATTGCCTCAATCACCAATGCAGGGCACGCCGGAGACGCCGCAATGCGGCTTCAGCCGCATGGCCTGCGTCGTCTTGCAGGCCTACGGTAAGACCACACCTATGTCGCCCAACAGCCCCCTCAGCGCCCAATTTGCTGCACAGAACATGCTATACGTTCTCTGACACGTATGCTGATCATGCTTGACCTTTTTGCTGCCATCCCCGTTTCAACAAGAACATGTCGCTGCCATGCAGCCGGATGCCGTGCAACCGGATGCCATGCCACGATGCCAGTAGTACCCACCACCGCATGCATGCTCCCTTGCTTAACCGCACCACATACCGTACCATGCATGTTCCCTTGTCGTACAGCACCGTGCCGTACACCTCATCACATTTACAACTGTCGTACGGTGCCCCTGCGCCCCCCGGCCCTGCCGTACAGGTGTCCAGTTCGGTGCCACCAACGTGCTTGCCGACCCGGCCATGCGGGAGGCCATCAAGCAGTTCACCAGCTGGCCTACCATCCCACAGGTGGGGGCGTGAGACTGTGGGCTGCGATGGGTGAGATTGTGGGTTGCAATTTCACCAAACACACCTGGTATTGTGACGTGAAATCGGAGGCGGGGTATTAAAGGGAACTTAAGGAACTTGGACATGTCATGGCACATGTATGCTACGGCAGCAGACCCGGAATTGCTCCGGCGAATTCCAGCTATGGCCCCCTTCCGACCTCTCCACACCGTTCCTCCGTCCCTTCCTCTTCGTCCCCACGTTTCCGTATCCTGCCTATCCTGTCCCCTTCCTGCCCCGCTTTCCTCGAACAACAGGTGTTTGTGAACGGCGAGTTCGTTGGCGGTTGCGACATCCTGTTGGGTATGCACGAGAGTGGCGAGCTGGAGAAGCTGCTGGCGCCCGTGCGGGAGGCACAGGGAGGACCCAAGTAGGGTAACCCCCAGATGTACCCTATCGCACCGGTAACTGGTAACTGGTAACCACTAACTATGCACAGCTGGAACTGACACATGCCGACCTCCTGGGACCCGTGGGTCGCATCACAGCAGGAGCCAGAGCGGGTGGGAGAAGCTTTGTAGCGACGCCTCTTTTCTGCGTTGTCCGGGATGATTTGCAGCTGCGCATTTGTGTGGGTGTGATGGTTGCGGGGGTCCGGGTCCGGGTCGAGATAGGTGGGAGGTGTGTTGTGGTAGGTGCCCACAACAGTGGCCGAAGACTACCGCAGTGGCTTTTCATGCATGTGCGCGTGACTGCTAGCCAACTGGTACTATCCATATTAGGGGGCTGCTGGCATTGCCTGACGGACGTGGCTGCTAAGTGGCGGGGTATGCAATAAGCCGCGGACAAACCCGGAGTAACCCGTGGGACTATTGGAAGACCGGGGAGCCCGGGGTGAGGGTCGGGGTTGAGCCTGGAGTCACGCCATGCAGGTGTGCCGTACCTAGGTGCGGTTTGCACAGCTGGTTGCGGGGGTCTGTGGTTCCTCCTCTGTCGCGTGGTGGAGGCCAATCGTACGACACTGTCGGGTCCAATACAGGGCAGCTATTACAATGCGCCTCTTTGCTTACCTTGGGTTTTACCCTGCGTGTTTTCTCTTGGCGCATGAGAATCCGGCGAGTGGGTGCAAAGAAACGTGGTCGGTGTGGGCATCATGCTCAGTGGCCCTTGCTCAGTGGCCCAAAAGAAGGCCTCAGGGCTGCGTTTCACACTCGTTACGGCTGACGCGTGTCGTACCAGAGTCGCAAGGCTGCCATGTAAGTTTCGCGCTGGACCGGCTAGTTGGCGGTAAAAAGGGGCCTCTTACAAGCAGGGTGTGGCACACGGTTGCCTCACAGGCGCTTGGCAGCTATCTGTTGGGTGAACTGTGAAGATCTAGAAGCACCATGCACGCAACGTGTTCCTGTTTTGCTCACGGGCGTCCCTTGCTTGAGAAGCCCTGCGTGTCGGCACGCGCTCCCATATCTGCATGGGAGAGGGTGTGTCCAAACTCTCCCCCCTCTCCCAAACTCCAATCGAAAGCGGTCAACGTCTCCGTCGCTCCACCAGAGTCGTCAGCACAAACAAGCCGCCCAGCAACATCACCGGCCACATGCGCCGCGCCCCGCCCAGCACATCGCCCGCTCCGCCACCGTCTCCGCGACTGTTGTTGCCTCCTTGCACGTTGCGACCTGGCTTGCTGCCACCCTGCAAAGACCAACCGGGGGACCGCAACACCAGCAGTGACAACAAGGAGCCAGGGCTGGTGAATGTGTGCAAGACAGGAAAGTACCGGTAACCCCAACCCAGCGGCAAATTGATGCATGATGTCCAAGGCGAGGCCACACGGGCTGGAGCCGCCCCGCAGTGCTGCAGTGCCGCATGTGCCTCTCATGCGGCCTACCTGCTGTTCCACCGTCACCGGATGGGGCCCGACACGCGACCCCATCAGCATCATCATCGCCATCACCAGAGCTTCTGCTGCTGTGAGGCCTGCGAGAGTGCCCGCATGCGTGCCTCCGCAGCGGCAGCCATCACCTCACGGCGCCGTGCGAGCTCCTCCGCGCTCGGAGGCGCCGCCGCTGCCGCCGCTGCTGCTGCTGACGATGCGGCTGCCCTTGCGCTTCCCCCGGTAGCGGACTTCCCCGCCTTGCCGCCACCGCCACCGCCACCCACCTTGCCGGCGCCGCCGCCGCGAGCTGCGCCTGATGATGATGATGACGCCTTGGAGGATGCGTTTAACCTACGGAAGCAGCCGAGGTGAACAGGAGTGAAACACAGTGGTCAAGGACGGGACAATTTCCTCATCGGCACTGCCTTGGCCGGTAGCGAGCTTGTACGACACCAAACGCAGGCGACCTACATCTCTCCAGCATCCCCCCCAACTCCTGCCAACCAAATCCCAACCAACATCCAACTGGCCAACAACGTGACTACATCGTACACGCGCTTACTTTGCGGCTATCGCGGCGGCCTCCGCCACCGCCAGCGCTATCTCGTCCTCCACCGCCTGCTGCTTCCGCGCCGCCCCAGCCGCAGCGCCGCCGCTGCTGCCACCGGCTCCTTCTGAAGAGGCAGCAGCGGCCTTGGCGGCCTTGCGTTCCGCATCCTTGGCCTTGAGCTTGGCCTTGTGAGCAGCCTGTTTGGTAGGATTGTTGTTTTCACGTTGTAAGCCCTGGCAAGACGCCCGACGCCTTATTCAATTGGTTTTGGAATCCCCTATTCCGCGGTTGCTAACTGAATGCATTGTTTACCGGTATTTTACTTGTGTGCAATGTTTCGGCCGGACGTGCGTACGACCATGCTGTCCTCTAACCAGCACGCCAAGTTGTTTGTATTGATGTAAGTCCAAGCTTTGTCCAAGCTGCAAGCATGCCGTACCTTCTTGGCCGATTGCGCCGCCTCCATCTCATCCGTCAGCGGCGAAGGAATACCCGACGTGCTGTAGTCCCATCTGCGGGTAGGATTGACGGGGGGCAAGTCTATACAGTTATGATATTATGAAATGGGGCAAGTCTATACAGTTATGATATTATGAAATGAGAGAATGGGAAAGAGAAAATACAAAATCCGCTATAGCGGAACCTACGCAGTATATGCAGCGCATCTATTTCCGTGCGCACGTATCCCCAAGCAGCAAACCAAAACCCGGAACCCACCAAACGCACCTGTCCGGTTGTTGCGCCATAAACCGCCGGAACGCATCTCGGGTGTCCTTATCCGCCGCCAGGCCGTACGCTGTACGGCCCTTGGCGTCCCGTACACATGGATCGTGTCCCGCCTCCAGCAACCGCCGTACACGCTCCGAATCCCCTGCCTTGGAGGCCTTGTGCAGCGGACTCTCCCCAGGCCCTCCCGATGCTGCAGGAGCGGCGGTTGAAGGGGCGGCGGTAAGGTCTTCCGGGCTGCCAGCGGCGGCGGCAGCGGCGGCAGCGGCGGCGGAAGGTCCCGCGCTGCCGTCTTTGTTGGCGTAGGTAGCCTCTGCGGTTGTTGACGGCGGCGGTGGGGGTGATGGGGATGGGGATGGTTGCTGGGAGGAGGTGGCGTCCAGAGAAGCCGCGGCCAGCGCCTCGGCAGCAGCTGCGGCGGCGGCGGCGGCCTCCGTGGTCTCCTCCTGCATGGTCAGTCGCGACCGTTAGACTTAACAACGCCTCCCCCACCTCCACCCGCCACGTCTTTACACACACGTACCTCCGCACGTTGCGCCTGCAACTGCAGCAGCTGCTCCGCCGCCTCCGGTCTGAACACCGCGCACAGCAACCGCATGACGCGCTTGGTTTCGGAGAACGTGGGTCGGTGGGTCACGAAGGGCACTCGTCGCAGCCGCGGATTGGACTGCAGCAACGCCGTTTGGCCCTCGGAGAACAGACTGCGAGCGTTGGAGGCGGGCGCGTGCACGAAGATGAGGTCGGCTGAGGCGATGTGTGCTGACCAGCTGGCCAGGAGCTCCTGGACGTCCCGCTCTAGGGCGACCTGTGGGCTCGGGAGGAACCCGGAATGGGCATAAATAGGGCACGCTTGAATAGGGATGAAGATTCCGCATTACCGGTAGGCTGGATTTCAGGATTGCACATAGTCAAACTCGGAATGGGGTCGGGGGAATAACCGGTAGGAGTTCGACGGAGGCCAGGAGGAAAGGCGACTGTGAGGCTTTCAGTTGGGTGCGCGCCTTCTTCATGGTGGCAACCGACCCACGGGTCATCCGCAGCGCGCGTGCGTGTCCCCTTTCAACAGTCGAGAAGCACACTTAATCTTCCGACATCCCAGTACGTTCCTACTCGCGGCCAGTTTTCTTAACACATGACGCACCTCATTGTAGCGGCGCAGTCGCGATCCAGCTGACCTGGCGAACTTGCCGGTGGCGTCCTTGGATGACTGCTTGCCGCCCGCCTTGGCGCTGTGGGGGGGGTGGGAAGGAGGGAGGAGAGGGGAGAGGGAGTGCGGTGCTGAGGGAGTGCGGTGCTGAGGGAGTGCGGTGCTGAGGGAGTGCGGTGCTGAGGGAGTGCGGTGCTGAGGGAGTGCGGTGCTGAGGGAGTGCGGTGCTGAGGGAGTGCGGTGCTGAGGGAGTGCAGTGCTGAGGGAGTGCAGTGCTGAGGGAGTGCGGTGCTGAGGGAGTGCGGTGCTGAGGGAGTGCGGTGCTGAGGGAGTGCGGTGCTGAGGAAGGACAGAGTGTGGCAGTGCAGTGCGGCCAGTGTTCTCAACCCCCACGCACCCAACATACCTCGCGCTGGGAGGCCACACACCACCGCACCCCCACCCACACCACCCGGCCACGGTGACAGCACTCATCACAGCGGCTCAGTTGCCCCCACCATCACCCGCCGCACTACGTAGCGAGCTGTGGTGCAGAGGAGAGGGAAGGTAAGCGGCATAAGAGTTTCCTTAACACACGGCATCCCCCGCGCCAGGAAGCCATGCACCCCCGCAACCCAACGCACCGCACTACGTAGCGGTGGAAGGTCTTGTGCGCCACCACCTCCAGCCCCTCCATCCCCTCGGGGTCGGCCTGGGTCTTGGGAGCCTGGGGTGCGACCCGGCCCTCGCGAGCCTGTTTAGGAGTGGCAACACGACATGGCACGGAGAAGGCGTGACGGGATGAAAAAGGGGAGCGAACGACATGGCGTTCAGGCGCGAACGACATGGCGTTAAGGCCCGAACGATATTGCGTGGCATGATAAGGTGTGACCGGAACGTGGCGTGGACAAAAGGCGTGACGGGACGGGAATAGGCAGAAGGGTGTAGCGTGACGGCACAAACAAACCAAACATGCGGGGTAACAACGTAACATGCACCTCCAGGTGTGACACCCTTGGGAGGTACCCAGGAGCACATGTAGCTTGGCACATGCGTGCCGCTTCGATGTCCTGTGACATAGTCCGTACGTCCCTACTTTACACCCCACCATGCCTGCTAGCAACTAGTCTCTGAACCCCGTTCCTCATCTACCCTGTGCCTCCCGCCTCCCGGCCCCCCTTAACGGCGCTACCTTGAACACCGTCGCAGCGAAGTGGCCTCCCCTCAGCAGCACCACCATCCAGCAGCCGGCCCCCGCCCGCAGCCGGCGAAGCTCCCCCAGCAACTGCGGCGGGGTGGAGGGCTGGTCGGCGGGTGCCTTGACGTGATCCTGCCGCAGCAGGCAGCGCCACACGGAGAAGAGGGAGCCGTCTGGGGACGCGGGGGGAGGGTGACAAGGGAAACCAAGGGGAGGGCAACTGTAGGATGTGGCTTACGGATAGACTGGTGGTATTAGGATGTGCGAAACGTGCGGCCGCGGGGGTGCCAAAAGGGTGGGAGGAGAGGGAGCGGTAGGGCGCAGCGGATCAGCATGAGACTGCACCCCTTAGATCTTAGGGGGTGCGTGCCAAGAGCACGAGTGCGTGTAATGGGTTAGGCCACATATATTACGAGGCGTGATGGTTATGAGGCTTAAGACAGGCCTGGATTTGTGTGCGCGGGTATTGCATCGTCTGCCGCGGGAGGACGTGGAGGACGTGGGCGGAGGACTCACCTGCCGCTTGGAAGGTCACGCGGGGAATAGCCGCTGCCTGCAGTGGCACCGCATGAGGGGGTAACGTAGCTTAGTTAGGCCAGGATAAGTTGGATGCGATAAGTTGGCTGGTTAGGTCAAGAAGTGGCTCCACACCCCTTTCTGTTGTTCCTTCCCCTATGCATGCAGAAGATGCAAACGCCCCCATAGCCCGTACCTGCTGCTGCTGCTGCCCCCGCTTGCGTCGCTGCCTGCCTGCCGCTCCTCCCTCCCCGCCGTCACCTGCCGCCCCACCCGCCTCATCTTCGTCGCTCTCTTCCTCGGACGAGTCGGACTCTGAACCCGAAATCGACACCTGTACGACAGAACGACATGCCACGTGGGGGTATATCGTTAAGGCTTCTCCACAATGAGTTTGAGCGGACGGGAAGCAGTACGGCAGGCACCGGGCCCCGACCTGGCTGGTGACTGTGTCGTACATGCCGGTACTTACCTCGGTGCCTTGCTCCAGAATCCTCTCAAACTGCTCTTCGCTCACGGCAGGTTGCTTTGCTAGTCGTCGTTTAACGTTATAGCTGTTGTTGGGGTTGGGAAGGGGTAAAGGATAGTGTAACGGGGGTGTCAACTTGGGTAAGGGACGGCAGACCCATCCAGCAAGGTACACACGCTTAGCCCCTTTGCGATCCCTACCGATGCCAGTCCGTCTTAAAGTGTTGCCGCTGCTCCTGGGGAGACTCAAACCCCGGGCAGCCGATTCCAATACCGCAAGTGAGGCAAGTCGCGCCGCTCTCGCGCCATGCGGCAGCAGATGCTAGCCTGCATGGGTGAGACCGTGCGCATTGGTTATACGCTGCCTAAAGCATTATGTTTAGTTAGTAAATTCCATGTCTAGTGCACGAACCGTGGCTGGTTAGAGGAGGCCGCAGGCAGCTGCTGAATGGCCTGCGACGAGGCAGCTTCTGACGCCGCCTCACCAGGCACCACAGCTGAATCAAAGAAATTTGGTGATAACCCAAACAGGTACCCAACAATAGTCATCGTTGCCAGTTCGCTTCCTTCGATTAGTACTTGCTTGACCAGAAGGGCATCCTAGTGTATACACTGGAAAAAGAATACAAAAAATAAGGTCATGACGTTGACAAATTATCAGCCAGGACTTGGTAGGATCTATGGCAACGTTGGTCGTCTATCGCACGGCAGTCCGGCACGCGAGAGGCGAGGCAGTACTTGCACATAAATTTCTGCAAGCAGTACAGCAGCGTACGCGCATTTGTCTACATTACTGCATAGCATAAAATTTGGTTGGGAAGAGTGCAAGCGCCTGGCTACTGCCAAGCCGTCCTACAACATCCCATCCACCGCATTGGGACAGCATACTTTGTAACTCACCAACCACCTAATTGGGAAACTAATCCAACTCCTTCACCTATGTCTTCCACAAGAGCTGTGTATGTGCTGCCGTTACACGGCATCTCGTCCAGGAAGCATTTCCATGTCTCACTGCTGGTGCCCAACGCTAGACAGCTACAACAGCAGGTACGCGCTGCTGCCGCTGCTGCACGTACACCAAGCCATCCGTTGTTGTCCTGCGCCTTCTTGGTGAGCCACTTCACGTGGACGGCATAAGCCAGGGTTGGCTACTTGAAATCGACAACACGGCAGCATGCATGTGGGGATTCCTCTTTGCAGACTGCTATCATGCACCGCAAGAGTCCGACCTCCTGGTCCCTGCAGAGGTGCCCGCAAGGACGGAGCAAGCCGCCGCAGCCATGCCATGCGGCATCAGCATTAGCAGCGGCGTCATCATCTCACGTAGGAGCAGCAACACCAGCAGCAGCGTCCCCAGACCATGCTGCTGGTGCCTCCGCAAAAGAACCGATGGCAGCGGACGCGACGTCAGCAGTAGCACTCGCAGGGACGGGAGCTGCAGCACCTGTTCCTGAGTTGCAGTGGAATGATGTAGTGGAGTACTTCCTGCCGGAGTACCCAGCAGGCTCTGAGATCGGACTAGGGCGAGTGGAGAAGGCAAGTGGTGGCTGCTGTGGGGTGTTTTCCTGGGGTCCTTGGGCTGTGCTTGGGAATGTGTCAATACTGTTACGTCCCTTACCAGTAGCCTAGGGTCCATTTGTAACATCATTTACATCAAGAGCTTTCCAAGGCTTTTTCTTGGCCTTAATTGTGACTTATGAACGCGGTCCTTCCCCTCAGACATCTGAGGGTCGGGTGACGCTGGCACCGTTGGAGGAGGTGCGCTAACCGCTCCCTGCCAGAGGACGCTGGGCAGGCATAGTAGATACCGGTAGCAAGAGGACGTGTGTAACGGGCCCCGGGGCAAGAATGTTGGGACGTTGGGATCTACCGTAGCAGCCGTCGGGGGTTGGGTCCTGCTAGGCGGGACGATGAGTGATTAAGGCTAGGTGTTTGGGTTGCTGCTTGAGGCGTAGCAGGTGAGTGATGGCTGAGCCATCATGGCTCCAAGCTCGCTGCATGGAAATCTTCTCTGTTCCTAGATGAGACATGCACAAAGCGCATGACGTGTTGATGTCTTCAGCATTAGCATGTCCGCATGCTTCCGCCGCTGCGTGCTGGTTTCACAGGAAGAAGAGAACACGTGGGTTCAGAGCGAGGGAGCGAGGCTTGTCGAGCTGCCTTCGGCTTCCATCCTACGAGTGCTCAGTTGCGACTACACGCAACGTCAGGTAAGTGGGCTGTTAAAATGACGGGCTTGGTCACGGGGAATATGGATATTACGGCAGATTACGGGGACACGTTTTCAGCGGTTGACCCAAAAACCAACCTGATGTCAATCCAGTGTCCTGTAATCTGTATATTGCATACATTGTACCCGTATGCGCAGTAATGTCATGAGTTATTGGGGTTAACCGATTCGTCATATTGTCTTACACAGGACCGAAGGGGCAACCCTCATGGCGAGCATGCTCACGACGTCTATGTGTTGCTGGAACAGCCGTCCGCAGGCGTAAACCACAGGGCGATGTAGGTTGTGGCTACGAGAGCCGTTTCATTGACGTAGCGTAGCAGGATTCTCGGAGACTTTGGTAGAAATGCCATTGCTAGGTTGCAAGAATGTGGGATACTGCGGGTGCAGCTTTTCCAAACGTTAGTGTACGCAATAGTATATACGCCGCTTAAGAATAGACATAGCTTGCTAGATGGCGCTTAAAGGGTTTGTTCCGGTATATTGCACACGGACACCCAGACATCATAGTTATTCGACACTGCCACACTGGAACCAGATTGACCTTCGAGTGATGCATATTTAAATTCCTAAGAGACAGCACTGCTTCTTGTAGCTATCTAACGTGGTTTACATTTTTCGACAACTTTTTCGTACTTGCAAGCTATCGCAGTATCGCCCATCGGCGCCAGCGCCCAGCATAGTTCCGAGCACATTTACCAGCTTTGGAATGCTAATCTGCATGTTTGTTTATTCGTAGAGGTGATCATGAGAACGAGAAGTTCTTAGCAGTCTGGGAAGAAGTCTGGGAAATGCATTGACAGCCTCCCAGGCAGACTTTTACCTCCACGAGTACTGAAATGGAGTAATCCAGCGATTCCACTCTGGGGAGTACTTTTCGGTCGCTGGCTGCAGAAATGGGCGAGGATGCAGTGGGGCTTGGCGAGTCTACCCCTGTCCTCAGCTTGCTACATATAAGGCCACTTTTACCAGCTGAGCAGGCTGCAGGTTGCTGCAGCGTGGTTTCTGTAGGCGAGAATGAGACAGTAAGTCGTGAAGCTGGTTGTTTAGCTTTATGTGCGACATTGATGCAGCTTTTGCAGAACCTGCTGCAATCAAATGCATACTTAAACTCTCATCATGGACGGGTTACTTTGCAAATACCGCGAAAGCAGCAGAAACGTTGACTCTAGCTAGCCACGCTAGCCATCGCGTTTGCAACGACGCTTACCTGGTTCAGCAAGCAATGCAAAATATTAAATTGTATCGGTCCCTTATGCTGCCCAAGAGTATTAGGTGGCTATCCAGCTAGCCAGCTACTGCCATGTGCAGACCGTAACGCCCCTCCTCGCTGCTACTGCAAGGCTTCCTCTAAACAGTGTCTATCACCCTTTCATACCTATCTTCACGTATTTCTTATCCAGAAATGCATACCTGAAAGTCCTCAACCTCTCCTGCCAAGCCCTTCTCCGCCTCCCCTCACACCCGTATCTATCCTAATGCACAGGTCAACGTGCAGGGCCGGCCCTATGCCTTCGACTGCGTCGTCGGCGAGGGCGGCCACTCTCGCAGCCACATGTGCGAGCACTACATCAGGCCTCTGGTCCGCAACGTATGCAGCGGCGTCAACTGCGCCGTATTTGCGTACGGACAGACCTCCAGCGGCAAAACTTACACCATGGGCATTGGCAAGGAGCAGCTGCAGGCGCTCAGCAGCCGCAGCGGGGACGCGGCGCAGGACCTCATCATTCCCTACGCGCTGCGGCAGCTGTTTGAGAATGTGCAGGCAGCACAGGGGCTGCGGAGCTTCACGCTGCTTGTCTCCTTCGTTGAGGTGTACATGGTGGGTTTCAGTTTGGAATCCCTCAAGAGGTCTAGGGCGCTCAACAAATCAAATACGGCAAATGTAGTATCGTCCTCTCGCGTGAGGAGGACAACTCCCGGATCGCTGATCACATCACCTCGATGAATGCCTTCTCCTCTTTCCCTCCTCCTCACTCTCCACGCCCTCTAAACCTCCCTCCTCCTTTCTCTGTCTCCCTCACTCCAGGAAAAATACTATGACCTGCTAGCTCAGCGGCAGCCGGTGGCCGCCAAGACCAGTCGCGATGGGGAGATGATGCTGGTGGGCGCGCAGCTGCGGCAGGTGACGACGCTGGAGGAGGTGATTCGACTGCTGCAGGTGAGGGCAGAGATGCGGCATGGGGGCGCTTGCAGACAGGGGATACCTGCCTGTTACAGCATGGGACACATGCATGTGGCATGGACCGAGTTTATCAGGGTGCGGGTCGCGGCATGGCCCGCATGGGGCATCTTCACCGTTCACCCAACCACGGTTCAGTCGCGCACCGCTTCCTTCCTTTTACGCTGCTTCCCAGATCGGCGGCCACTCGCGCACCACCAAGGGAACCAACCAGAACGACCGCTCCAGTCGCAGCCACGCAGTACTCACCATACACGTACAAAGCCGTGCCGTGGCCAACGCAACCACACCAGCCGCCGGCAGCACTCCAGTACCGGGATCCCCAGCGCCGTCCACCGCCGCCGCTGCCGCGGCGGCGGCGGCGGCAGCTGCCGCCACCCCGCCCCATGCATCCTCCCAGCTGCCCGCCACACCCGCTGCCGCCACGCCGTCGCCGGTACGGGCGTGTGCCGCCGTCGGCGGCGCCGGCGGTGCCGCCGCCACCGCGGCGGCGTTGAGTGCGGCGCTGGCGGCGCCGCCGCTGGCCGCGAAGCTGCATCTTGTGGATCTGGCGGGCTCGGAAAGTGTGGGTCGTGCGGGAGCGGTGGGCCTAGCGGCCAAGGAGGGCAACACCATTAACCTGAGCCTCATGACGCTGCGAAGCCTGATCCATTCGCTGGCAGCACCAAAGGTAAGGAGTAACCAAGTAGCAAAAAAGAAACCATGCACGCTAGCGGGAATGTGTTATTGCTAGCGCCATGTTATCTCTCTCACCCTACATGTTCACCTTGGCCCCCTGACCAGCGTATGCCTAACTCCCAACTGCCGTTCGCCACCGCACATTTCCCCTGCCGTACAGCCCCCAGGCGGCTCAGCAGCCAAAATTATACTGCCGTACCGCGATTCCAAGCTCACCACGCTGCTCCGTGACGCCTTGGGCGGGAACAGCTCCACCCTCTTCGTGGCCTGCGTCAGCCCAGCCGACGCCAACGCGGCAATGACCGTGTCCACGCTTGAGTTCGCTACCACGGCTCGACGCATCCGTACCAAACCCGCGGTCAACATTGGCGGCGCAGGCAGCTCGGAGGTCGTTGAGCTGCACAAGATTATCCTGAAGCTGCGAAGTGAGGTCGAGCAGTTGCGACGTCAAGCCGTGTTGGGCACGCCCACCTCGCCCACTGCCACGCAACTGAAATCTGCAGCAACATCGGCAGCTGCAGCGGCTGCAGCTGCAGCTTCTCGTCTGGCCTTCCCCTCACCCTTCGCCTCGCCGACCCCCGCTGGCGCCCTGGTTGCCTTTCCCGGCGCTTCCGCAGCCGCAGCCGTCATGCTGCGTGGCTTATCGCCCCTGCTGTCCAAATCTCTGTCGTGCGGGGGTTCGCCCCGAAACACGCCCTACCAGCAGCAGCTCCTGTTGCTACAGCAAAACGGCCACTTGCAGCAGCAGCTCCAGCCGCCGCTGCTGCAGCTGGGTACGAGTCCGCTTGCCGTTGCGAGTGGCACGGCCCGTTCGGACCTCGGGCGGGAATCCGCCGCGGGTGCTGGGGGCGGGCCGAGAAACCTTCAGCCGACGGCTTACGAGACTGGCGCAGTAGCTGCTGCAGCAGCAGGGCCAGCGGCTGCCAAACCACCGGCACGGGGTTCACGCGGTGGCCGGGGTTCAGGGGTTTGGGGCAGTGCTGCTCAGAGTGATTCAGATGTTCCGGCAACAGCAACGGCGATTGAGGAGCCAGAGGCAGCTGAGCAGGAGAGGGCACAACCTGCCGAGGGGGCGGGGGTGGGGTTAAGGGCAGGCGAGGTGCATGCAGGCGGCCCGGGTTGTGCTGGATCTGAGCAGGATGCAGGCGGTAGCAGCTGCAAAGAGGCTGCGGAGATGAAACAAACGCGGGAGCAGGGGCGGCAGGCGGAATTGGAGGCAGCAACTGCGGTATCCCTATCCCCAGCGGCGGCTCGAGCGATCCTTATGAGCGCTGGCAAGCCCGCCAGAACGTACCGCCGGCGTAGGGGGCGCCGAAGCGGCAGCCACCGCTCTAGCAGCAACACCTCTGACGGCGGCGGCGGTGCCGGCGAAGCAGGCACTAGCAACGCCAGCTGCCGACAGCGCCAGGCTTCACTTCGACGGAAGCTGCACCCAGACGACGTTGCGGCGCCGTCGTCGCCTTGTCGTACCCCTCGCGAGGGCCACCGTCGGAGCCGCTCGGAGCTCAGCGGCCTGTCGGCTGCTCTCAGCGGCGACAGCGGCAGCTGCCCTGACGGCCTGTCGCCGTCAAGTTCGACAGTGTACGGAAGTAGCGGCGGCGGTTGCAGTGAGGGCAGCTCTCCGGACGCCTGGCAGAGCATGGCGCAGCTGCAGCAGCGGGTTGTGCTGCTGGAGGCTGAGAACGAGCATCTGCAGAAGCATGTGGTAAGGGTTGCTACTAGCTGGAAGTGGATAGCCCTATGACCTTTACTTCCATGCCTGCTGTGCTTAGCTCGCCCCCCAATCCATGTGCTCAACTTCATACTCCCCTGCTGCTGATCCATAACCCACGCCACTGCTGTCCTAACCTCCGCTGCACCAGGGCAACCTATCTTCCATCATACACGATCTGCGGGCCCAGCTCGATGAGGCGCATGCGGCCCTCTCAGGCAAGCACCCCTCGCTACCCAACTCACCCTTCGTGGCACCACGCCAGCGCTGTAGCTCCTCCGGTCTCGGCCTGCTTGCTGCGGCGGCGGCGCAATCCGCACATACGGGGCCAGCAGCATCCCGGTGGCAGCGTCTGGGGGCATCCCTCGGCGGAGGCGGAGGCAGCGGGCGTGGAAGGTTACTCGGCAGCGGAGGAAGCGGAAGCCAATGGCTGCCGACAGGGCCGTCAGCGATGTTGTCTCGAGGCGGGGCGGCGGCTCAGCTGGAGTCCGGAGGAGGAGCAGCAACAGGTGGTGGTGTGCCTGCGACTCGACGGGCGTCGTGGTCGGGACCCGTGGGTCGCGCAGGACCCAAATGCCTGTTTCCGGACCGGCCTGAGGAGCACAAACAGCTGCATACGAAGCTCCGCCAGCCGCAGCAGCAACACCCGCACCTGCAACGTAGGCACGCTGCCGCTGACGGCGTAGAGGAGGGAGAATCGGATGGTGATCTGGATTTGGCGTCGCCGTCTACCCTGTCTTGCGGATCTTCGCTGACGCTGTCTCCCTCGGGTCCCTCGGCCGGGAAGGGCTCAGCGCGCCCGCCTGCAGGAGCGGTGCCCGCTGATGCGGTTGGAGCTTGCGTTGCTGCTGTTGCTGGATTGGAATTGGAAACAGCCGCGAGCGCAGCCCCTGCTGACAAGGGCAGCGCATCTCCTCTACCCGCATCCCTCGACGCAGCAGCACACAGCCCTGAGCTCCATACCACACCTGGGGACGTAATTGCGTGTGGAGAGGCCGCCACAGCAGCGACCATCAACGAGCAGGAGCAGCCGGTGCAGGAAGGGCAAGCAGCTCCGGAGGAAGTGCTGCTCGATGCGCCTGCAGCAGCGGAGGAGGGGCTTGCGGAGGATGGCGGCGAGGGCGATAATGGGACGTGGGATGCATCCATGCTGCCTGCGTTGGCGCAGCAGTTGCCGCCGCCGGAGGAGCTGCAAGACCGGGCGAGAGCGCTGCTGGACTGGTGCGTTGCACAAGTATCGTTTCTTCGGCCACATGTGTTTTTAAATGCGGATCATTGCTTGGGGCCTTTGCCCTGTAACCCTGTGCGTGTATTTGGCTACTGGCCTCTGTACGGAAGCCTCACGTCTTGCTGAATCTCATCTGCAGTTCAGGTTTATCCCGCTGGTGAACCTAACCGCTCCCGTCTGCAAAGCACACCTTCATCCCCAACTAAACCTTAACCTCTACCTACCAACTGCGCCAGGATTTCCTGCCAAGTGGCTGACAGCGAGTCGCTGCTACACGCCCAGCAAGCGCTGCTTCGGGAGCTGCTGGTGCAACAGGGCCTTATCGCACCCGGCAGTGGCAGTGGCGGAGCTGGCGGCAGTGCTGGCGACGTGGACGGGGGCTGCGAGCTTCCCTCCCTGGAGGTCCTCCGGGACTATGCAGCACAGCAGCTGGCTGGAGTTCAAACGGAGCTGCAGGCGCTTGGCGGCCTGGGAGGCGGCAGGAGCAGGGGCTGTGCTGCTGGGGAGGAGGAGGAGCACGTTGGTGGAAGCGGCAAGGGCGGTGGTGGTTCGGGCTCGGCTGGATCGTTGGGGCAGGAAGAGTTGAGGTAAGGAAGGCGAGACACCGTACCTGGATGCGCAACAAAGCGGGTCGCTTGGGTCATACATGTGACTGCATCGATAGCCTTGGGGCTAGAGGCTCGTCGGAACCTGATGCCTTCGTCATCCGCTGCATAACCCTGCTTACCCATGTCCCACCACTGCATTCCATGAGGAGCCCCTGCAGCTCCTCAACCATGCTGGTACGGCACAGGCCATGTACTCATGATGCAACAACCGTTTGCATGCAAACACATGCCGTACGGCTGCTATGCATTGTGCCCGCCACAGGCGTGTGGAGGAGCTGCTGAGTCGTCGGGGCAGCCTGCAAGAGCTTCAAGAGGGGTTGCAGCGGATTGCTGAGTTGGAGGTAAGGGGGAGACCATGAGGAGCCCGGGATGTGTTGCGTCGCCCTGACGGCTGTTGCTGTTGCCACTGCTGTTCCTCGCCTTGCTTGGCAAAGGAAGGAGCAAGTGCTTAGGAAACTGTCGACTCCTAAAGCCCCTCCTGAATAAACGCCACCATGCAACTCGCCGTTGGGAAATCTGTTTCCTCTACCCTGTACACGGTAACCGAATGCCCTTGTGGCCCTTTATGGCCCTTCTGTTCCCTTCAGGCGGCTCTGGAGCTGCAAAGGGAGATTCAAATGCTAGTGGGCGAGTACGCTAGGTTGTACGGCAGCGACTCAATCGGCGCCGCCACCGGGCCCGCCGTGGCTCGCGCCGCCGCGGCGGCGGAGCAGCAGCTGCAGACGTTGCGGCGGCACCGGCGGCAGCAAGTCATGAAGGTACAGGTTGCTGAAAGGATGACTATGGCTATTGTTGCTTATGTGCAACTATCTGTTGTGTGTCGTGTTTGTCGTACGTACGTTGCCGATGTGTGTCTAACAGAGGAATTCCCTTACGCCCCCCACTCCATTCCACGGACGTCACGTCGCGACACTCCTAGGAAGCGGCGGTAGCACGGGAGAAGCTCCGTGAGTTGGAGGCTATGTCCGGCCCACCGCTGCCTACCCAATACGGCGTCATATTACAAGGCGTGCATGGCAGTAGCGGCGGCGGCAGTGCCTCAACAGGACCCGCATCTCTGTCGTCAGCGCCGTCGCTGCTGTCGTCTCAGAACTCCCTTCGCAGTAGCACGGGCATGACGTCCATGTGGAGTGGCTTCGGTAGCAGCGGCGGCAGCAGCTACGTCTTCTCGCAGGGCTCCGTATGCCTGGAAGCAAGTGAGGACGCTGATGATGAGCTGGGACTTGCCGATCGGTGTAACGAGCTGGAACGAGGAACGACGCCCTGTGGGTCGTCCGGAGGCTGCAGCGTCGGTGTAGGCGGCAGAAGCAGCAGCACCACGGGAATGGCTTCGGCGCCGGTTTCGGTGCCCCTCGGACTGCCGCCGCCAGCGCCGCAACCACCGAAGGCGCAGCCGGCGCCGTCCATTTTCGCGCAGCTTTTGCCGGTAAGTAGGGGCTTGGTGAAGGACATTCGGCGCAGATCCTTGGAGCACTATTGCGACTGGATCCTCGTTGATGAGTGCTGCTAAGATGCTAATCAGTGGATATGCCCTTCTCATTGTACCCCATGGTCCCCATCTCACTTCCCAAACTTTCCTTCTCCGCTCTCCGAAACCGCCAGAGTCTGAGTTCCAGCTGGCGTCGATCTTCCAGCAAGGAACTTCCCCGCGTGTCTTCGCAACAGCTACAACAGCAAGCCCAACCGCAGGCGCAGTTGGCATCGCAACATCAGCAGCAGCAACAGCCTCATCAATTGCAGCGCAACAACAGCCTCAACGCGGGCTCTGCTGCAGGAGCGGGCAGGCCGGCACGTCGCACCGTGGTAAGTCCGCAGGGATGAGGATACCGGGCAGGATAAGACGACCGTCATGAAAGCATTTTTGCCAGACGAGTGACCAGGAGGTGGTTTTTAGCCAGCTGCAGCGCCCTTTCCAAACCCTCTGTTCCTTCAACCCCAGCTGCCAAAGCGCTTATCCGCTGACCAAATGCCCCATTCCATCAATTCTCCAGCTTTCCCCATGGCATATCGCACCACACCAACCCCTCTAAATGCGCTACCCAAGCGCTCCCCATGCGTCCAACTGCTTTATATGCCAAGCTTGCCGTACGTGCCCCAACCGAGTGTCGTACATGCCGTTTTCACACAGGTCCAACTGAGTCAGCTAGGTCCCTGGCTGGATGCCCTGCTGGACTATGAGACCCGCATGCACCACTACGGCCGGGTGTTGAAGGGCGCGTTGCAGGTGACATGGGTTTCAGCGCTATCTACATCTGCGCAGCGTTAGTAGGCTGACGTAGGGCAGGTGCTCGATCGCCATCCTGCACACACGTCGGAGGGGCAGAGGGCTATCTTTGCAATCATGTCAGCACCTGTACTGAACATGTCCTTGGATAGCAGTCTATGTCCTCCAGTGTGCCTGGTGCCTGTTTCTCCCTTCTCTTCCTGGCCCTTCTTAGACTCTTCTTTCCTTCTTCTTGCTCCCCCCCTCCTGTGTGATCGGCGGCACAGGAACGTGAGGCGGTTTACACGCAGTTACAGGTGCGTGGCGAACCAACGGATAGGCAAGGGCGAGCATTCCTATTAGATCCTGTGCTCCTGGCCAATCCCTGCCCTCAGTTGCGCCTCACTGCCACCCGCCCTGTCCTTTCCCCGTGTCCTAGCCGGCGTCTCCCACTCACTCCAATATTCTTCCCCCGCTCCACCCAAGGCTCTTCCCTCACTCTACCCAATGCCCCCCACCGCAGATGGTTGAACGCGAGCTCCTGCACATCACAGAGGCAGCAGCCGCAGCAGCAGGCCTGCCGCCCGCCACAGCAGCAGCCAGTGTCGCCGGCGCCGCTGCCGGCAATGGAAGCCTTCTGCAAGAAGAAGAGGGCTACCTGCGACAGCATGCGGTAGTGCTTGGGGCGCAACAGGAGAAGCTGCAGAAGCGGGTAAGGAGTCACGGCCTGAGGTCAGGGACTGGATGGACGGCCGGGTGGGTGCCACCAAAGGTGCCTTTCCTTGGGTTTTCTGCTTGCAGCTCCCGTTACGTTTGCCGTCGAGCCATTCCCTTCCAGGCATGCCTCCTTCAATCCATGGCTGCTCATCATCACTTCCATACCGCCGTCGTCCCCACGTTTGACCTTCTTCCAACCCTTTTCCTCCCTTCCTTTTACCACCCTTCCTCTTCCCAAGCTCGAGGAGTTATGCATGGATGTGGCCTCATTGCAACTCGCCATCGTGGAAGGCCAGGAGGCGGGCGCCTCCGCCTCCGCTGCCACCAGCCACGATGAATGGTGGGCCTGTGTGCCATCCGTCGGACTCGCCCGGACCGCTCTGCGCATGCTCCTGGAGAGGGCTGCAGGCTACCGGTCGGAGTTCCAGAGCGCTGTCGCACGTGCGGATGAGCTCGAGCACAGGGTTGCCGAGCTGGAGCTGCAGTATCAGGAGGCGGAGGCGCGGCTTGCGTCGCATTCCCTGGAGCTGACTGCCATCCGGGCGGCAGCCTTGGCCGGCGGCGTGGCAGCAGCAGGTGCCTTACAGCTGCCCTCCTCCTTGCTGTTTGAGGGTGGCCGCGAGGGAGCTGCTGGCTTGTTGTTCGGGGTTTCGGAGGATTTGGAGCTCCAACAGCAGCAGCGGGAACTGGAGCAGCAGCTACAGCAGCAACAGCTGCTGATACAGCAACTGCAAGAGCAAGGGTTCAGGATGGGGTGGTGTGCAAGTACGGGTGGTGGGTCGGCTGATATGGAGTTGACGGTGTCGTTCGGTGAAACAACAGTACCAGCGGCAGCAGCAGGAGCACCAGCGGTAGCAGCAGGACCAACGATAGCTGCAGGAGCAGCTGCAGCAGCGGCTATCGAGGCAAAGCTACGGCGAGCATCAACAGTCCACTGCGCGGCTGCCAACATGCTGGGAGCGCAGGGCAAACAGCAGCAGCAGCAACAGCAGTGCTGCGTTGACCTTAGCGGGGTTAGGACACCGGTGGGCAAAGGGGCGAGCCCCGGTGATGAGACGGCATTCGGGATGCGCTCCGCACCCTTTGGTACTGTCCAGGGGTGTTGAACGGAACGGCTACTGTTCTTACAAGAGCAGTGTCGGGGCGCTGGGATAGTTATCAGATAAAGAAGTGATAAGAAGGGACTCACGTACGCAAATGACATGCATGAAGCCTTGGGGCCCCATGCAAAACACATCCTGTACCTTTTTACTGCACTATTTCCTTTGACGGTGCTCTTATTTCATGACCCTGGTCCCCGCGGTCACAAGGGCCTACATGCGCGTACATGCTCTAATGCAACCACAAGTTGCCAAAGGGCCTCAATTGCCCACGCATTGTGATTTGGGGAGTTCCTTTTCGACAGTGGCTTAAGCTTACTGACTGTTGGATAGCCAACAACACGACTTGATTACCGTAATGGGTGGGCCCATGGATGGCCGTGATCCCATTTTATGTACGCATGGTCATTCGCTTGATTCCTCTTAATGATTCACAACCATATGCCGACAGCTGTTGTTTGTTGTTGCCTCCCAGCTAATCGTCCGGACTTTTGATGAAGTGACCTTGATCCATGGAAATTGACCGTGCGTGTGTTTTGGGGTTGGCATGGCCGATAACCTCGGCCTCCTGGTTTTATACACTCCTCTTCGTTACTTGGCACTGAAACGTTAGTCATCCGCCCTAAATATGGAGTAAATCCATTAGTCACGCCGCCGTTTCTAAGGGGGCCTGCCTATTGGGATACTGGGTTATGCAGATAAAGCAAGCACCAATGCGCCTAAGCGATCACCATTCCAACAGTGAAAGCGGTGGTATGAATGCTTGCCGTTTGGGCATGTATGCTTGCCGTTTGTTACATGTTTGTTGGCTGGTACGAATGGCAACAGACTGCATTTGATAAGACGGAAACCGGTGTCAATCCGTGTGTGTTCTCGTCTCTTGTTGATGCGTAATGGAATTAATGTCGTGCGTTTGATGCAAAGGACGTGACCCATGGGTCAGCCCATATGTCCTTGACCGGGCGTGTTACAATTTGTCAGCCTGGAGGTCAATGCCATGTCTTCCAAACACCGGTTCCTTTGGCACCGGTGCAAATGCATGATGATTCCCTGTAACATGGCAACCGATTACGTCCTGTTGTGCGAACCGACCAACTGCTCCACAGTTTCGATTTTGTGTGCATGCTCAAAGCAGGGCTTGCCAGCATGGAGCCACTCCACCGCGACTCGATTGCTCCAACGCCTTGCCAACGTCCGATGACCCTCACAAGCGCATGACGCTCCATTTCGCACATCGGGCAGCCCCAGCCAAGTCACTTTCACCACACTTGGCTGCCCTAACCTACCGTACGTCCTTTGGCTGCGCACAAGGCGTAAGCCACACGCCAACAGGGCCTTGATATAGCCGTCGTACGAGGACAAGCACCTAATACCCAGCCGCTCAGGGGCCCCAGGAACGGACCGCAGTCTTGGCCACTTGCATCTCCCGAACCCACATGCGTCTCTTGATGTTTGTACCCCTTTCGTTGTCATTAGCTCTGGACAATGTTACTTGCATTGTACAGTCGCAAGGCCATGTACCTAAACCAACTAAGGCTCACGCTGCAATGTCGCCAGGTCCCCAGGTCGCAACATGAACACCTACCCAACTCCTGCAATTCATCCCCCACCTCCACCATAACCCTAACTGAAGGTCACGGTCACGCGTACTGACAGTTGCATGATGGCAAAAGGGAAGCTCTACTGCTAGCTTTATCGCTTTACGTGATAGGCTTCACTCCCCATAGACAGACAGCCCACGACGGAATGCTTGAACCCAAGAACTCCAAGCTACCGGCTGTACCAAGGCTCACAATGCTGCGTTCCGCATTTCTAGCTCCGTTTATAGAGCCACTGGAAGAAGCGGACGCGTCCACCGCTATTGCCACTGCCACCGGCGGTGCTGCTTCTATCTTTGCTGCTACTGCTTTTGCCGCCGCCGCCGCTACCGCCGCCATTGCCAACGCTGCCTCCGCCCCCAGTGCCACTGCTCTTCTTGTTGCTACCGGTATTGCTGTTCTTGCTGCCGCTGCCGCTGTTTCCGCTACGGCTCCCACTATTGCTACTGCCGTTGTTGGTGTTGCCGCTGCTGCTGTTTCCGCTGTGGCTCCCGCTGTTGCTACTGCCGTTGTCCTTGTTGCCGCTGTTTCCATTAATGCTACTGCTGCTAACGCTACCGCTGCTGTTGCCGCCACTCTTTCCATTGCTGCTACTGCTGCCGACGTCGCTACTGCTACCGGTACTGCTGCCTCCATCACCGCAGCCGTCGGCCTTGTAAATAGCCATCTCATTAGGCTGCCAAAAAGGGCCAGGAGGGTAATGTAGGGGCATTGGGGAACAATTCACAACCCATGTTCACTACAAGAGACATAACCTTTCACATGTGTTGTTTCTATTGCTCTTATACCGGTGCACTTGCTAGCACCTGACGACGCAACAACTGCATGCAAGCACCCCTCATCAGTCCCGGAAAAGCAGCAGCTGGCAACCGTGCAAGCAAAGCAATCCGCCCTGTGGCCTATGGCCTTAGCTTCCCTTGAGCACATGCAGCTAGCCAAAAGCAGTGCAGCCGAATGTGCGCGCATGCCAGCTCCAGCAGCACAATCCGACAGGGATCCTTGTTTGTGGGACCTAAGTGCAAGTGCGTATGCAGGTGTACGTACGTCCTAGGAGGAAACAGCACCCCACAAATTCAACGCTCGCTGCCCGCCCTGCTTACCTCACTAACGACGATCATGGTGCGACCGTCCGGTGTAAACGTAAGGCCCTGTGAGAGACGAGAAGGGCAGGGCTTGGTTCGAAGTCGTCTGCGCATCATTGTACGGTGGTTAGGATCGTACCTCAGGCCGAGATCCCCGTACATCCAGCTGTTGCAGTACTTGACCGTCCAAGGTTGTACGGAGCACCTTGTTGCTCTCCTGTACGGGAGTATGTACGTACGACACAACAGCCGCAACAGCAAACACGGTACTGGCACCTTGCCTGCTATATATGCAGGCTAGAGCAGGCATCTGATGCCTTCAGAGAAACGCCCCATCCAAGTACCGGTATGTAATCGTCACTGCCTGCTACAATAGTCCGCGCCTTTGCTGACCTGGGGCCTATCGAGGCGCGCTGCTGAGCAATCGATGGCGCCTACAAAAATCCCGGCATGCATGTATCCTATTTAAGTCTGGCGCCGTATGAACCGCACCGTTCCGCTGTACTGCACTCGTTGCCGTACTTACCTGTGACAGGATGAAGAGCTGCCCCATCTGCGGCGCGTAAAAGACTTCCGCAAAGTCGCCAACCATGCCGCACGACACGTCGCCATTGATGATCTGGTTCCAATTGCCGTTGGGTTTGACGGTAAGGATGAGCTTTGGGTACTTCTCCTGAGCCACGTAGTATGTGTCGCTTCTGTACGGGCATGGGCACATGCAACGCATACATGGGTAGACACAGCAATGCATACCCTTGAGAATGAGGATGGTGCCACTGCGCCACATGGATGGCAAATTAAGCGGCTGGGTGTTGCATGGGGCAGGAAAGATGTTGCTGTACTGCGGCTTGCTTGAAGCGGAACAAACTCCCCTGTGCTACCGGTATTCCCTCATGCATGCGCCCCTCAATTAATTGGTTTACAGCTAGACGGGCCGCGCCTTGCTCCCTCATTGCGGAAGCTACACCTCACTTACCCGGGATCGTAAGACAGCCCCTCATTACCCGTCCCGGAGGAGCGAGGGTTGGTAACGGGAATGAATGCCTGAGGGATGGCGGGCAGGCGGGCAGGGAAGCAGGCACGCGGGCGGGCATGTATGCAGGGGTGCGGGTTAGGCCACGGCACGATGCACATCACGCTGTTGACATGGCAGCAGTTTTCGGGTTTCAGCAGCAGCTTGCAATGATGATATCCTTGTCACAGATAGACACCGTTTGCCCCCTCCTGTAAGGCCCTTCTATGATAATTTGCCACCGTTCGTTCGCCCCCTCGCTCACCAGCTGCCTGCCGCCGCCATTAGCACTGACATCAAGCACACGAATGCCACCCCCTTGGGGTTCCTCCAGAATGGCGACACGATCGGGGCCAACATAGGTAATGCCTGCGGTGGGCGCGAAGAGCAAAGGAAGTGGAGGGATGGCGAGGCGAGACGGCGGTCTACGGGTCCTTGCCCGACATCGACCGGTGCAAGCAAGGCGTGTGCCTGTACGGAATAGGGAAGTTTGGGATTGGGAGAGGCTGCGTTGCCGTACCTTCAGGATCGCTTAGCCACCCGAGATCGAGCCGACGAAGCAGCTTAGCATCCATGCTATACTCGAAGATTCTGTCGTACAAAAGAGAGTGCACACACGGCCAACACAGCACCTTAGGTCAGAGCAATGCCATTTTGGCAGTTTGCAAAACGCTCCACGCCAGCACAACCGAGACTAGGCCTTGCATGCACGTGACGTAGGCTTCCCTTCCCTCTACAGGCCAGAAGGGGGTCTCAGCGTGTTGTTGGAAGAACATGCAAGGGGGTAGGATGCAGGGTGTACAGCGCATGATTAGGCCCGCATGCATGGCACTTGACCGCGCTGTATGCAAGGGCATGGCGTTCCGCACACACCGACCCGGAAGGATTGTTGACGACGACCCAGATTGTTCCTGTCTCCGGCATGTAAGCCACGCCTGACAAATAAAGCGGAGCAAGGGGAGGGCGGCAAGCAGTAACCTCATACACGCATGCACCTGGGTAGGTAGATAATCAAAACGAGCAGGACGCTGTCCTAGCCCGCAAGTTACCCGAAGCGTTGTCGCCAATATCGTTGAATCGGAGGAAGCTGCACAGTCGGTAGGAGTTCAGGTCCCATGGGCCGGCCAGGGCACCATATAGCCAGGCAGTCAGCAGCAGCAGCTGCAGCAGCAGCTGCTGCAGCAGCGACTGAAGCTTCGCCCTTCCGTTGCTCGACTGCATCATGTTAGGCCTCCTTGAGGGACGACGCCCATGCGTGTGCCGAAACTGCATTGCCCCCGTATCCACAAGCACGGTTGGTGCAGCAGGAGGAGGAGCAGCAGCAGCAGCAGCAAGCCTCCCTGAAGGGAGCAAGACGGTTTTAGTGTAGCACTCAGTTTTGTGTCATCTTAAACATGTCTTGTTTGCAAGTGTAGGTGTGTGTAATCCAAGGGTGATGGTAGGACTACGTAAATACGAAGGCTTAGGGCACAACGTCCTTTCGAATGATGCCGTTGGGATGCGTTGGGGCATTGGTAAGCTGACACTTTGGAGGCGCCAAGTGAACCGTGGGTCATCGCGGGTCGTACCGCTACCGTTGTTACCGGTGGGCAGTGAGCAGCAGCCGTTACACCTGTCAAACCGACTGGCCTTTCAACGAATTGGGCTGCCTCTATCTGGCGTTATTCTTTTGCTCGCCAAACTTCTTTCTCATTTTGCTGCTGGTCGGCATTTGCGTGGAAGGGTTTCCGCAAACGATGTAGCAATCTTTCAACTGAATGCAGGCAGACGCCTACCAGTAGCACGTGACAAGGGGCTCCGATCCGCTGGCTTTCGGTGGCTACATATTGAGCTGCAGTTTAAGCTTGCATAGTGGTAACGCCAACGGAATGACCGAATGCTTTTTGGGCTCCCAGTCCATGGGAATCGGAAACGCCCACAACCGATGCGCCGGATGGCTCGAGTGCATGCAACCTATGGCATCCAGCTGTATTGCTTCCCATCAGACGAAGGCCCAGCAGGGAAGCCCGGAAGAGCCATATGGGCAAGTGGAGAAGACACAGGAAACACGACGAGTAGAGGTTATACGACACTCATGTTGTTTACAAACAGCTGCATGGGGCTGGTCGGACCAAGAGCTCAAGGGATGTAGCTGGTTAGCAACTATAAAGTAAGGGCCAGCATGGACGTAGCGGCGGAGTATAACGCTAGCAGCCACAGCAGCCAGAAGTGCTGCAGGCCGGCCGAAAAGAAGACGGCAAGCTGAAGCGGCCGGTAGGGTTCGCATGCGTACCGCCCGTACGTCAACTGAGAAAGCGGCTGTTGCGTGTGGGGCATATGTGCGTTGCCGTAGCACGCTGAGATGAGGCCTCTCTGGGCTGAGATGCGGCCTATCTAGGC